ATATTTGATTTTTAAGTGTTACTAAAGTCACCTAATGAAACTGACGAAGAAACAAATGACAAAATGAAATGAAGTTCACATTCATCGATTTATTCCAAATGATCGTTAGACTAAGTAAGGCACAGACTGACCATTATAAGGGTAAAATGATACCCGGGGTCAAACAGCAAAGTTACCACAGCATCACAACCAAGTCAGTAACGGGTAAATCCTCCTCTGTTTGCCAAACAAGCATTGATCCGACGTGGCATACTCCTAATGAGACGTCTACGGTCATTTTGGTCCAGATTGTCCCATTCCTGTTGCAACGCAGCAGCAAGTTCTTGGACATTGGCAGGTCGTTGTTGACGTTGACGTAACCTCTGTCCAAGCATGTCCCAGACATGCTCGATGGGGGAGAGGTCGGGACTCAGTGCTGGCCAAGGTAATGTGGGGATGTTCTGTTGTTGGAGGTAACCTGTAACGATCCTGGCCCTGTGACATCTTGCGTTGTCATCCTGGAAGATGAAACGGCGGCCATGACGTCGTGCGAACGGCACAACATGGACTGCCAAGATGTTGTCCCGGTAGTACTGGCCTGTAACACGCCCTGCAACAACATGTAAAGCCGTTCTTCCAGCAACAGTGATGCCTCCCCACACCATAACAGAACCACCCCCAAATCGATCATGTCTGATGACGTTAACGTCTTGGAAGCGCTCGTTTCGACGACGCCACACCCTCCTACGTCTGTCCAAAAAATCAACAGTGAACCTTGACTCATCTGAAAACATCACATTGCTCCAGCGTCGATTATCCCAGTGTTGACGATCCCTACACCAACGACGTCTTGCCTGAATGTGATGATCTCTCAAACAAGGGATCACGCGAGGACGTCGGGCGCGAAGGTGACCCCTATGCAGTCAATTCCGAATCGTCTGGCCACTCACTCTCACACCAGTGTCTGTTTGAAGACGAGCGCTGATCTGATTTGCTGTGATGACACGATTTCTCAAGGCCAAGGTACGATTAAATCAATCCTGGGCTTGAGTTGTCGCCCTTGGTCGACCTGAGCGTGGTCTGTCCTGTACAGATTGTGTATCACGGTATCTGGACCATAGCCTGCTTATGACAGACTGTGAAACATTCATCGTCCGCGCCACAACCGACTGTGTTGTGCCGATCTGTAGCGTGCCAAGGGCACGTAACCTTTCATTTTGGGTAAGCCGACGCATATCAAAATTTGTTTTCTGGTCACTAAAACAATTAAACTGATGTTTCCACCCTGGAATTCAATGCCACAATGACTGTAACATTCAAAGTCAGAGTCGTGCAAATCTTTGGGTTGGACCCCCATGATGATCCCAAGCATCACCTGCATTCCATGCGGTAGCTATTGGTGCGTTTGGGCGTCACATGTAACTGGAAATGTTTCTTCTGTTAGGTTCTATAGTGACTTTTTTCGTAGTCATTTGCATATTTTAGTATTATGCCCCCAAAATCAAATATCCGCTACTTTTTTTGAATAGTATATAATAAAATAAAGCTGGATCTAATGAAGATTGTTTACAACCTAGTTTTAATAATTCTTCACATACACTTTGGTAAAATTGCCTTGCAGCATCATTTAAGCCATATAAACAATGCTTTAGCTTCCATAATTTTCCACAAGATAAACCCGCTTCACGAGGTGGAGATAAGAACACATCTCTTTCTAATGTCTTACCTTGTAAAAAGGCTGATTTAATGTCGGTTGTTCTAACCTTCCACTTTAAGCTAGCTGAAAGAGCTAAGAATGTTCGCAGTGTACTTTTACCAATAGTAGGTGAGTCACTTTGAATATATTGCTCCTCTTCGAACCCTCGAGCTACGAGTTGTGCTTTAACCTTATCACCCTTTTTTATTGACGACCCATCTAGTTGAAATTCTGTCTTGTCCAATGTCATTAACAATTTCATAGATTTTAAAATGTTCCAACTTTTGTAATTCATCTAATTTCGCTTGCACACAATCAGAATTTCCATGTTCACTTGAAGGTACAAATACAGCTAGTATTTCTTGTCTAAATCAACACTTTTTTTAATATCATTTGCAAACTGAACATTGTACCAATGTTTATAAGTACCAGTTGCTTTTCCAGCTTTACTTAAAATGGTGACTGTTTCCCAATCGTCTTGCTCAGATTCGCGAACTTGTATTTTATCATATTTCTTCAATTTGATTTCCTGATCAGCATTGCAAGATATATTTGGATCAGCAGATACTGCATTTTCTGTTACGTTATCAGTTGGCTCAGTTGGTTGTACTACTGGCAATCCAATAGTTTCATTTAACGGAATATTTTTCGCTACATCAAGGTGAGTATTTCTTATTTCAGATGAACCAGTGTCCGATTGACAATCTTTGATCAGACGATTGGTAGAAACCCTTACATACACACCACCATGACGCACAAAAACAACCCTGCCGTCCTGAAATAGAACTTTAGCAGGACCAAGCCATTTGTTGTGTCCTTCTCTTTTATAGAATACGATATCGCCCATCGAAAAACAGTCCTCGGTGGCACGAATTTGATGCCTTAATGCTCGGCGAAGTCTTTCATCAGATTCACAACGGATAAATGCCTGCCTCGCTGAATGTAAAGCGTTTAAATGTTTTAAAAGAACATCACTCGAAGGAGTACCTTCGATATATGGTATTTTGCCAGTCACAATATTCGGCAAATTAGGGTTCTGACCAAGAATGATTTGAAAGCTGCTAAAACCATTCCACATTTGGAGCGAATTTTTCGCCATATTCGCCCAAGCCAATAATATTTCCTTGTCAACTGTTGGATTCTCAACACATAAAATTTCTACCATTCTATCAGTCACTTGATGATTGCGTTCGCAAATTCCATTAGACCATGGGCTTTCAGCAGGGGTTGTCAAAATGTGAACTCCTAAGATGCTTGCTACTTCACGCATGAGATCGTTACTAAATTCCCCACCGTTATCAAACAAAACATTCTCCATAACACCCCAAACAGAAACCCAATGTTTCATCACTTGGTCAATAATAACTTTAGGCTGTTTAGTTTGAATAAACACTGACACGCTCAGTCTAGAAAACATGTCAATCATATGTAGTATATAATGGCCATTTCGATGAACCTTTAAATCCATAGCCATACAGTCGTTAAAACGTCTGCCTAAAGGCATACTCACAACTGGACAAGCAGGTGTCTTAGCAAACACTTTACATGTTGTACACTCATTATATATTTGATCTAAATCGTTTAAATAACCTTTGTCCCAAACGCCTGCATCAGTCAATAAGGCCACTAATCTCTGTTTCGAAGGATGTGCAAATTGTTTATGTAATTTTAATAAAGCCTTATAACGTTCATCCTGAGACAAAGTATTCAATTGGACGCTAAAAACCTCATCCAATCGAGTATCACTAGCTATAGGGACACTATAATGTCCACTAGATGTGAAGTCTAATGCACATTTCTTTCCAAAAATCTCTGCTTGATCATATTCCAGATCCAATTTGACATTGGCACTCTTTAATGTCTTTAAGCTTAATAACAAAGGAATACTAGAGTCCACAATGTCAATTTCAAGCATAAAATGATGCTCCGCAATAACACATGGAACATGAACACGCTTCAGGGATTGAAGACATTCTCCACCTCCAAATTTAAAACATTTGGTGCCTGGAAATTCCTTAATTTCACAAATTTTATTAGGTTGAAATGTGCTTAGAAATGTTTCATACCAAACTTTACCACACACAGTACTAGTACATGCTGTATCCAATACAGCACTGTGTTGCGATTCTTTGCCTAACCTATTCATTTCAGTTTCATTATAACCTGTATACATTATAACATTTTCTGCACTTTCAGTCAACAACACTTTACTTTTATCATCAGAATCTGTAGTGTTCACATTTTCCCAACTGTCAGGACAGTCTTTTAACAAATGACTAAAAAGAACCACAACCATGACAACGCATAGTACGTCCAGAAAATGACTTTGGGTTACTAAATTTATCCATATTAGCACCTCTTCCTCTATAGCCACCATATTGAAAACCTCTGAAAGGGGGGCGACCTCGTCCACCGCGATAACCAGCACCACGATTAAATTTATAATAACCTGCTGCCGCAAGAACACTTTCTGAAGGTAAGGGTTCCAATTTAAAGTTACTATGTATTGGAGCAAAAGAGGTACCCGAGCCCTTAAACCTTTTTAGAGAAACTTTGGCTTGGTCATACAAGGTAGCTTTATTTTCATAGTTCATTCCTGTAAGGACTATCATACGGTCATCGTCAGATATATTTGCACATTTTAAAAGTTTGAATGCCAGAATTTCCTGTAATAAAGTCATTCCTTTTTTTACTATTTTGGCATACTTTGAATCAAAATCTGAGATAAATTCACTGATTGACTGATCACCTTTCGTTTATAGTCCTCAAAATCTGCATACTTTTCAAGACTGTCTACAAGATCATCCTTTCCTAAATGTTTATCAAGAAATGTTAACAAAACATCAAAACCTTGATCTGTCATCAACTCATCCATCGATACTCAGTTCATCGAACACTCTCTCACGTATACTATGTTTTTCGTGTTCTGGAAGAGACAATGCCACAGCAATTCCTTGCTTGGCCTCCTCTAAATTAGTTATTTCCCTCCATGCAATTAACTCTTGCTTGTAACGTTCATAAATTTTATCGTCAGAAAACACCGGAGGATTCAACTTCAAACTCATTTTCTGTTTCAATCGCTGTCGTTTGTTTACAATTTGTCCAACTTCCGGTAAATTGTCACTCAATGGCTTTACGCTAACCTCACATTTTTATACTTCCGGTTTTTCGCCAACCGTATTTATTCACTGAATTTCCTTCTGACTTCACTGTCAATTCACATAAAAAGTTGTGTAACACAATTATAAACGCCCTAGGTATAGTTTTCGCCACTATATTGAGCGCCTCACGCAACTGCTACCATGTTAAATATAAACTTAATTGTTTAATCGTACAGTATATCTTTTTATTGGCGCCATGTCACAAACTCAAAGTACGCATGCTCCACTAGGCATGTATAAAAATAAGGATTGGAAACGTACAAAATAAAGAGTAACAAACGGTAAGTACACGAAACTAAAACAATAAACAAATACAAATATTAACATGTGGGGATCAAACACGCGACCTCCAGGCTATAGCGAGCCAGCGTATTACCCAGCTAGTCACCGTGGCTCTTCACATGGCTAATAATTTCTTTAAAATAACCCCTTTGAAGAGACTTTGAATGAATGGTTAGTATGAGACCTCTGGTTCCGAGTTCACAAAGCATTCTTAGACTTAAGTTAAGAATTTACCCAAAATTGTTCACCTTGTTTTAACTAAATTTATAAGACTTTTGTTGTTTTAATGTACAAAATACATCAACCAAATACATCAATAAAAAAATATGTGCAAAGTTTTGTGCTTCTGGATCAAAGATATTTGTCATAAACAGTGATTGAAAGTTGAGTAAATTCTTAACTTAAGTCTGAGAATGCTTTGTGAACTCGGGGCCATGTTATAATTATTCACAATGGAATGTTTCATACAGACAGTTTGACTTATTGTTTCACATAGACAGTTTCACTTATTGTTTCTGAATTTTATCACATTCTACCATTGGATTTTGTCCACCAGTTGGGTTAAATAACGCTGTTTAATGACTCTCGTCATGTTCATTATCAGGCGGATCAAAATCAGGTACATCACATCCTGTATAAGCACCATTCTCTACACAATATTGTATTAACTGTCTCCAATTCTCATCCTGTCAAAATAAATACCAAATGAAATGTTGTTTAACGTCCTACTGTTCAAAGCCCAGCTGAGGCATGGGCCTGAGGAGCCCAGGCCCAGGGCCCCACGGTTTAAGGGACCCCGCGGTTCATGGCAAAAAGAGAAAAATTCAAATTCCAGATGAATGTTTTACGGTAATCTATCTAACGGCGGGAGGGCGGAGACTGAGCTATCCACCAACCTTCTCTGTGTAGTTCCACTCGGTGATCGGTCTAGGCTTTAGGGCTTGTATGCCATTCGGAACTGAATAGATTTCGTGTGTGATCAGATATTATGTAATTATTCTTGTATTACAGACCGTTTAATTGTGTGTTACGCATGCGTGCCATTCGAAAGGATATGAAATAATCTTTTCGTCGCGTTACGGTTAAGGGCCCCACGATTCTAGTCAGGCTAAGGAGAGAGAGAGAGAGAGAGAGAAATGGGCTTTAACGTCCACTCGACACAAACTAGGTAATTTCGGGACTAACATGGTTTAATTTTATTTTAATAATTTGTTTGTGCGTAGGGGTCTTTAGCAGTGGGAGGAAACCGGAGGACCCGGAGAAAACCCACGAGGTTGGACAGGCGACCCTACTCCTTGTCACATACAACCGGGGAATCGAAACCACGCCAGTTGACTCAATGACAGACCTTATGATACAGCGAACACCCACTAACCATGCGGCCATCCAACCTTTATTGTAAATACATAGGCCTATTAGTATCGACAAGGGGTGGGGGCGACTTTATGGTAAAGCGCGCATGTGCTAACCATTCAGCCATCCAACCCCCCTAGTCAGGCTAAGGGCTCCGCTCTGGTTAAGCTGGGCTCCGAATTGGGCTAATGAAGATGGGCATACGCCATACAATGTGCTATGAGGGAAATTTTTCCCAGACAATGGCACTACGGCCTTCTCTTATATTGAATTCCAACTGTCAAGGGATCTTTTACGTGCACGCCAATGTGTACACGGGACCTTGGTTTTTCAGCCCATCTGAATGACTAGACAGCTGTCCTTGTCAGACCCTTCGTCCTGCATCACTGACAAGGGGGAATCACGCCGGAAAATCTCGATGAACTTTCTCGGCCCATGGGGGGATCGAACACCTGACCTTCAGGCTAGCGAGTCAGCATCTTACCCACTTAGCCACCGTGACCCCCCCCCCCCTCAAAGTAAATACATGTCTGAACTTTTATGGGGGGATGGATGGTTGAATGGTTTAACACCTGTGCTGCAGATCATAAGGTCTGTCAATCATTGAGTCAAGCAGCTTGGTTTCAATTCCACACTTGTACGTCACAATCAAGAAGTAACATTGAACCATATGTTAGTCCCATAATTTTGCCCGGACAGCGGCACTATTGCCTACTCTTATATCGAATTCCAACTGCCAAGGGATCTTTTACGTGTATTCCAATGTATACATGGGACCTCGGATTTTCGTATCATCCGAATGACTAGACAGCTGTCCTTGTCAGGCCCTCCGTCCTGCATCCCTGACAAGGGGGACAACATTAATGAGATATAAAAATAAAAAAATATGAGAAAATAAATATACCTGAATTAGAACAAACGGATTGCCAATAATAACTAACGCTGCTTGTGCTCTTGTAATAGCTACATTAAAACGTTTTGGGTTACTAAGGAAACCAAGAACATGGCGTAAATCAAGTCCCAGCAACTTCTCATTAGATCGTACCTGTACAATAAAAACAAAATTTAAATATTAGGCAAATTTTATGTTAATTATAAATTTTTACCTTCAATGGTTTGTTAACAGCCTAGCGATTACCATATATTGGGTGGCCCAGACAAAAAAAAACGCCAAAAATTCTCCATTTATCAAACATCTATTTTGTACGACATGTGAAATGTTAATGATATAGGTACAATACTTTTTTAATTATTTTACTTTTAAAGGCTACTTCTTTTTTCTGGGGCACCCAGTATACATAACTGGGCAAGTTGCAAATCAGAGAGAGAGAGCAAGATAGAGAAAAAGAGAGAGGAGAGAGAGAGAGAGAGAGAGAGAGAGCAAGATAGAGAAAAAGAGAGAGAGAGAGAGAGAGAGAGAGAGAGAGAGCAAGATAGAGAGAGAGAGAGAGCAATAATTCCATTGTGAGTAGGGGTCTTTAGCAGTGGAAGAACCCGGTTGAAAACTCACAAGTTTGGACAGGTGACCCTACCCTTGTCACGTACACGCGGGTAATTGAAACTACGCAATGACAGACCTTTTGATCCAACGCACGCTAACCATTCAGCCACCCAACCCCCCAAGTTGCCGATCATTTAATGTCGTTGTTCTGCACGAATGAGTATATGCAATGTGCTAAGACTCAGGCAGTGATGTTTTCACCTACCCTTCATTGTATTCCAACTGCCAAGGGATCTTTTACGTGCATGCCAATGTGTACACAGGACCTCAGTTTTTCATCCAATCCGTAGGACTAGACGATATTCTTGCCATGCCCTCTGTGCTGAATCACTGACTCAGGGAAATCACAATGGAAAATTCTGAGCTACCTTTTCGGCCGAAATTGGAATCTAATCCACGACCTCTGTGGCTCCCTGATAACCAAGACTATTCTTCTGTAATAATTTTATAAAGAACCTACTGTTTATGGAATGCGAATATGAAATAGATATATTGTTACCGTGGAAATAATCACAACTTGTCTCTCTTGACCTTGAAATTCTTCAACTGAACCAACCTTGACCCTTTCAATACCAAGTTTCTCTATCAACAGTCGGATCTTCTCAATCTTAAAATATAACACGGATAATTAGACCATACAAAAAATATAACACGGATAATTAGACCATACAAAAAAATATAACACAGATAATTAGACCATACAAAAAATATAACACGGATAATTAAACCATACAAAAAAAAATGTTCTGGTTCTCTTACAAATCTAATGACGGAGAAAGGTTTTTGTTTTTGTGTTTTATTTCGTCAGAGGATCACTACATGATTACATGACTTCTGAAACATCACATTTATCTCTTCATGTTGTTTATAGTAATGTTTGATTATCCAGGTATCATTTATGATTGTCAATATCAGTGTTGCATACTTGATAATTGGGTTCAAATGTTTCTATGGAGTTACTTTCTACTTCTTTTATATGGCCTTATATATAATGTAATAGTAAGTGCAGGAGGACCACACTTCTTACAAACAAAACTGATAAGACACAAAGTACACAGACACTGCAAGCAATAAACAAGAAAGATTTATGACAGTGTCGAAAGTATTATACACTTTGTCAAGAGGACCAATCTTGAGGGCCCAGTATAAAGCCTGCCAAGCCTTTAGGTAAATCATACACTGTACAACCTATATTCTATATTATTTAAGGATTACCACGTATCAAATCGAAAAGATTATAGAAAAAAAAACCAACATATAATTAACATGGCCCTATTTAATTAGCTTCCATAGAGTGTACAGTACCTGTTTTCTATAAGGTGTGATAATTCCTATATCTTCAACATCTATATTTAAATCAGTATGTTTAATTAGACTCTGTAGATATTGTACAGTTAAAACAGCTTCACCTGGATTAAACCATGATGGACTATTACCTTCACGTAAATCTTCTCCCTGTATTAACAAAATCAAATGAAATGAAATGGGGTTTAACATCCTACTGTTCTGCTTCTAGTGGGCTAATGAAGACAGGCATATTCCATACAGTGTGTAATGATGGAAATTTTGCCCGGGCACTATGGCCTACTCTTATATCGAATTCCAACTGCCAAGGGATCTTTTACATGAACACCAATGTATACACAGTTATTTTGTCTCATCCGAATGACTAGACAGCTGTCCTCTGACAAGGAGAAACCACGCTGGAAAATCACAATGAAATTTCTCGGCTAATTCAGTGATCGAACACGCGACCCCCAGGCTAGCGAGCCAGCGTCTTATCCACTTAGCCACCATGGCTCCCATATTAACAACACAATAACACATATGTTATTAGGGTTTTAAAAAGGGAATTCTGTTTCATCAAAATTTAAAATGGTAATATCATTAATTTACATGGAATATTAAATTGCAGTGATATTATTAACTTTAAATACCATTACATTTTAAATTATTCAGATATACCATTGAATATTAAATTGTTTTGATATTAAAATACCCTTATACCATGGAATATTACGTTATTGAGATGATATATAGAATACTAATTTGTTGAGATATTATTAACTTACCTGAATATCATATTAACTTACCCGTACACCGCGAAATACTAAATTATTGACACCCAGTATTATTAAATTACCGGTACCTAAACCATGGAATATTAAATTATTGAAATGATATTAACTTAGCTGTTCATATACCGTGGAATATTAAATTATTGAGATGATATTAACTTTATCGTACATCATGGATTACTAATTTGTTGAGATATTATTAACTTACTTGTATTACATGGAATACAATAGGAACACCTTGAGTTGATAAAATGGACCTCAAATTATTGAGATACCATGGAATATCAAATTATTGTAATGTTATTAACTTACTCGTATACCATGCAATATTTTGGAATATTGAGATTAACTTACCCTGTATACTATGGAATATTGAGATTAACTTACCCCGTATACTATGGAATATTGAGATTAACTTACCCCGTATACTATGGAATATTGAGATTAAATTACCCTGTATATTATGGAATATTGAGATATCATTAACTTACCCTGTATATTATGGAAAAATGAGATTAACTTACCCCGTATATTATGGAATATTGAGATTAACTTATCCCGTATATTATGGAATATTGAGATTAACTTACCCTGTATACTATGGAATATTGAGATTAACTTATCCCGTATACTATGGAATATTGAGATTAACTTATCCCGTATATTATGGAATATTGAGATTAACTTATCCCGTATACTATGGAATATTGAGATTAACTTATCCCGTATATTATGGAATATTGAGATTAACTTACCCTGTATACTATGGAATATTGAGATTAACTTACCCCGTATATTATGGAATATTGAGATTAACATACCCTGTATACTATGGAATATTGGGATTAACTTACCCTGTATACTATGGAATATTGAGAATAACTTACCCTGTATACTATGGAATATTATGGAATATTGAGATATTAATAACTTACCCCGTGCACCATGGTATATTGAGAATAACTTACCGTATGCCATGGAATATTATGGAATATTGAGATATTATTAACTTACCGTGTGTACCATGGAATACTGAGATTAACTTACCTGTATACCATGGAATATTGAGATATCAATAACTTACCCATATACCATGGAATATTGAGATATTAATAACTTACTTGTATACCATAGAAATTTGAGATATTAATAACTTACCCGTATACCATGGAATACAACAGGAACACCTTGAGTTGGCAACATTGACCAGTTAACTAGAGTATGAGTTAAACTTGGATCAGCTTTCACTTTCAGTTGATTAAAGTAAAATAATTTTGATGGTAGATGAAGTATGGACGGATGAGAACGATAATTCTCTATCAACATCGTCACCTGTAGTCATAGAATTAATCACCTATATTAGTCATTATTATTATATTTATTCAGTAGATGACATCAGAGACCCATCAAACATATCAGATACCCAACATTACACAAATCAGAGGCCCAACATCACACAAATCAGAGGCCCAACAACACACAAATCAGTGACAGAACATCAAACATACCAGAGATGCAACGATACCCAACATACATGTATCAGAGACCCAACATCACACAAATCAGAGACCCGACATTTTGGTTGAGAAGCCAGTGCCCTACCACTCAATCTGATTAAAATACAGATCTATATTTCGTTTCGCCTTTTTTTTTTATAATTTTGATGGTCTCTACTACATGAAGATGTCCAGTTGTAGTAGAAGGTCGTGTCAGAGGTCATACGAGCGGCTTTTGACCCTATGACGTCAGACATTTGATAAACCAATCAGCATCAATGTCTCTAGTGGGTTACCCACAGTTCTGTGCACCTCACGCGCCATAACAGACCGTTTCATTGACTAACCCCTCACGTCATCTAGAACGCCATCTTCAATAGAAGGCTTGATCTCGCTTTAACTACGTACATCTTATCAAGGCCTTCACGTAATACCCTGCATATGCGGCACTAATTTCGATTAGGTACAAGCCCAACTTGTGAGCCTATCAGATTCCTCGATCAACGCGAATACCAAGTCTTGTGGTTTCTAGCTAAAATGTCTACCTGGGATAATCGAGTTGCAAAGTTCAAGGTTCATTCAATGTCAAGGTTTCCATGGAGGTCGCGATGTCACAACCTCTGATTGGACGCTACTGCTCATGTGTCTGTAGATAACGTAGCTATAAGTTCGGGAATTGTGAAGTAAACAAGCAACGGGCAGATGTTGAGAAACTCGCAGGCGTTGCTTCAGGAACATGCTAGAACGCGAGTTATATAACAACTCTTCCAGATCCTAGTGTAGTAAAGACAAGTAAAACGAAATTTTGAACTGTGTTTTAATCAGAGAGAGAGAAATGGGGTTTAACGTCCACTCGACACAAACTAGGTCATTTCGGGACTAACACATGGTTAAATTTTATTTCACTAATTCGGTTGCGTAGGGGTCTTTTAGCAGTGGGAGGAAACCGGAGGACCCGGAGAAAACCAACGGGGTTGAACTGGCGACCCTACTCCTTGTCACGTACAACCAGGGATTCGAAACCACGCCAGTTGACTCAATGACAGGCCTTATGAATGCTAACCATTCAGCCCTCCACCCCCCCCCCCCACCATTTATTTCGAACCAGGACCCTTGATTATAAATCTGAATAAATTTATTTACCAAATTAGGATCGAAGCCGCCATATTCAGAAAATTGTTGTGCGTTGTAACAATAGATCTGCCTTTCCATTAATCTTTCAAGCAAAGATAACTCTAATCCAAATAATTTAGCATCTGGTGACATCAATACCGGTCCTAACTGTTTTGGATCACCTGCAAGAACTATCTGAAATAAAAATAGCATCATAATAGAGAGAAAGAGATGGGGTATATTGTCCGCTCGACACAAACTACGTCATTTCAGGAATAACATATGGTTCAAATTTATTTCAATAATTTGCTTGCTCATAGGGGTCTTTAGCATGGGAGGAAACTGGAGGACCCGGGGAGAAAACCCATGAGGTTGGACAGGCAACCCTACTCCTTGTCACGTCAAAACCACGTCAGTTGACTCAATGACAGACCTTATAATACAACGTACACGCGCTAACCAATCGGCCATCCAACCCATAATAGAGAGAGAAAAAGATGAGGTAAAACATCCACGTGACACAAACTAGGTCATTTTGGGACTAACATAATACAATTTTATTTCAATAATGGGGTTTAATGTCCACTCAACACAAAATTTCAGGAATAACATATTTCAATTCTATTTCAATAATTCAATTGCACGGAGTAATCTTTAGCATGGGAGGAAACCAGAGAACCTGGATAACACCCACAGGTTTAGGCAACCCACAGAGTTAGGCAGGCGATCGAATTCCACATCACTATGAATCGAAACTATGCAACTTGACTCAATGATGCATCTTATAATCATAAGACCATTCGGCCACCCAACCCCCTTGACATCTATGAAGGCATCCATAATGAATTCCTTACTAATAAAGCAGCAAACTGATCAGCAGTATAATAAGAGGGATGACATCAGGGCCAGTTAAATTAGCTCTTCTGCAAATAATATTAACTTTTTTTCTTCTGCAAATTAAATTCTAAAACCAATTTTTTAATTATTTTTCGAAAATTACATAACGGTGTTCGAAGTATATCTGGATAAAAAATATTTCCGATTTAGTGTAAATGGGAACATAAAATAGTACACAGAGGCGTAAAATGAGTAAAAGATAACAATTCTGCCAGGACCAGTTTGTATTACTACATCTGATGTAAACAATACATGTGTTGTCGATGTCAAAAAAAAAGGGTTTTGCATTACTGCTGAGAAACAGATTGATAAAGCAGACGATAAAATGAATTAAGTTGTTTACCTGTCCGTCTGCACCTGATACAAGACCTAGTGGTATCAAACATTCTGGTTCCGTAGCTTGACCTGCCTAGATATAAAATTGGTAATTTATAAGTCACTGGTAACCATCTCAGATTGTTCTCACGATTTTACTTGTCTTTACTACACTTGGATCTGGAAGCGTTGTTATTTAACTCGTGTTCTGCTTGAAATGAGGGGTCAGCCAATCAAATGGTCTGTCGAATCGAGCGTTTGACCTTTTTTGCGCGGAACTGTGGGTAGACATTACCAGCGATAGAAATCAAAACAAAGCAAAAGTAGATAAAAAATACATGGCGGTCGCTAATTGGTTAATCAAATGACAGACGTAATCAGGTCAAATGTCGCTTGCTTGGTACCTGACGTCATAGAACGTGAACTCCCACTATAACTTGTTAGATCTACATGTAGTGTAGGCCATTGAAAGTATAAAAAACGAAACGAAATATAGATCAATATTTTAATTAGATTGTCTCATGAAGCTACTAGTTTCGTTCTTATTCGAACTCATCAGGATTAAGCGAGATTATGTGAATATTCCCTTTATAACAGTATAGTTTTTGGGGACCAGAACAAAGTCTCGGGTGGACAGGAGCTATTCTGTTTCCATTGAGTCGCTGCTTCCGTAATTATGTTTGAACAGAAAGTCGACTAAAGAATTGCCATTATAAAATGCTTATTGATTGTGTCGTTTAAAATAAATAAACATATGGGAGTTATTTTGAAAGGGATTTTCCCATGTTACAAACACCAGTGGTTGGATAGACATCAAAAAGCTTCTCCTCAAAAATAAATGCAAGGGAGCAAATCAGACGACTGGAGGAATCCCCACACAGTTGAACAGACAACCCTATTCCTGGTCACGCATAAGTTCTCGATCGAAACCACGCAACTTGACCAAATGAAAGATGACTTGACATAACCCCCTCCCTTACCTGACATATAAATGATATCAAAAGCTCACCTCATCCACAAATGCATGAGTAAAATGTCCGACCTTTAATCCCAGATTAAACATAGACCCGGCCATATTACACGTACACACAACTATACGATGTCTGGATATAAGATTTAAATCTTCACCGGAGGCACTAAATGGTAAAACTATATCTGGAATAGCCTGAAACATACAATAACATAATAATAGTTCCATAAACATTGCAGCCATCTTGGTATTATGACTTCATATCAAAAATCGTAGTTCCATCAATTGTTGCACAACTGTCCAAATTTTATGTCGATCATATTTGAATTGTCAGAGCCTTAAGATTTGCTTGAAGGATGTCAAACCAGGAAGAACGAAAACAATCAGAATCTGAGCATATGGTCCAATTCTTAACTACAGATATACCATGTTTATTTATCATTGACCATTTTACATGGCCAAATCATTAACAATAATACAGCCTGCATTATCATTTAAACTTGGTTGCCTCACTCTGTCTTCAGGCTTGACACTAAAAGATTGAATTCTAAAGTGCCATTCTCCTCACCCCTACCGGAAATGACACAAAATCAACAACCGAGCCAAGGGAAATAACTCCATTCCTTCAAGCGTCGCTTGACATTGGAATGACACTACCAAAATCATCTAACAAAATATAGAATTATTTTAGAATCATCACTGAACATAATGCAAGTTGTCATTCATTAGTTAAAGGAGCTAAATCGCTAACATTTGGGACCTAGAAATTGACAAAAGTGGGTCACAACGCATATAATACTGTAATATGAATGTATATAAACTGATTTACATTCAATGGTTTCTGTTTTTACTCCAATTTCAAATCAGTTATGTTCGGCGAAATAAGCCAGCAGTCTCAAGCGAGTGCAAATTTCTAGCGTCTGGTTATTCCAGTCTACATACGCCATTTGATTTGGTGCAATGTGTCTAGCCTCATCCCTCAAGTCTCTTGATACAACTGGGGCTGAAGCGCATTATGGTACACGATTCGTGTACCAATGGTAAAATGTTTATTTTGTCTTAAATATTGGATATCAAAAGCCCATCATTTTCCGGTAAGATCACAACATAAATGTTGATTTAATTTGACAAATAAATCGTGTTTTCAATGTTGAAGATTTTGGATGATATTCAGTTAGAGACTTAGCTACTTTAAGGCATGTGCTAAAAGTCACGCCCACACGATGTAATAGGCTAACAGGATAAAGGAAAATTCAGATAATCCCAAAATATCGACAAAAGAGTCAAACAAATTTTTTCCACTTACGCCTTCCTTGCGATGGAATGAATTAAGACGAACCATATCGCAAACTTTGACTTGACCACTTGCATACAATCTTTCTATCTGAAATAGACAAACTTTAAATTAACCGCTTGCAGAAATACACAAACTTTAACGATACATTATGGGAGATTAGATAAAATTTCAGTCAAATTGATCCACCCTGAACCGAGATGTTAGCGATTGATTTTGGGGCCTAGCCTCGATCATCATTTTGATTTAATCGGCAGCAGCAGACCAGGTTCTAATCCAGTAAATATCGCAGGCTAGCGATAACATTGAGAGTTGATTATGGTCTGGATACGTTAATTAATGTCTAATTAATAATTCAGATAACATTTCAGGCCTAAAAAAAGACCTGCAATTGGCAGATTTAGCTCTTGCCATCGCTAGCCTGCGATATTTAGCGAATTGGAAAACATTTTGTGAAGGACAATTAAACGAAAAAATGGATAATCGATACTTTGCTTTTTATCGTACCGACTTTAGTAATGATGACCGAGGATAGGCCGAAATTTCAATCGCTTATTTCTCAGTTCACAGAGGATCAATTTGACTGAAATTTTCAGCAAATTGCCTTTACATTATCTAGTTTTAACTATTATAGTGAGAACTGCCAACTTTTTATCTAATCTCCCATAATTTATCTTTAATGCAATGTTTCTTTGATTTTTTGCTAACTGAAATCCTCACCATTTCTTTTTCACATTTGATTTTGGAATTTAAGGATTAGACTTGTTGAAATATCACCTCAGTAGAAGCAGACGTTAAATAAACATATTTCACACATCAAGGATTATATGCGAGTGTCCAACCTCGTGGGTTTTCTCCGGGTCCTCCGGTTTCCTCCCACTGCTAAAGACCCCTACGAGCAAGTGATTATTGAAATAAAATTAAACCATGTGTTAGTCCCGAAATGACTTTGTTTGTGTTGAGTGGAGGTTAAACCACATTTTTCTCTCTCTCGCTCTCTATTAGCGAGTGATTTTGCAGTGGTTTCGATTCCCCGGTTGTACGTGACAAAGAGCAGGGTCGCCTGTCCAACCGGGTCGTCTGGTTTTCTCCCACTGCTAAAGCCCCCTACGCGCAAGCAAATTATTGAAATAAAATTGAACCATGTGTTGGTCCCGAAATTACCTAGTTTGTGTTAAACCCAATTTCGCTCTCTCTGTATAATTTAATATTAGAAATGAACCTAACTCACGAGAAGATCAGCAGCACTGTTTGATGGTGTACAGGCGACAATACGACTGGACGGAATTCTTAATAAAATCTGTAACATCGATTCCACCACTGTTATTGTTTTACCAGTTCCTGAAAGAAACACCACAACCTCATTCAATCTATAAAATCAGGTTTGTTTTATTAAAGATGCATTATGCAAAAGCTAGATCTGTCCATTGCCAGTTTTTATGCATTATGCAAGAGCTAGATCTTACTATCATTGTGGTCTGAAACCTTATGTTTAAGCAGACACAAGTTGTCTCCCTTATGGTGTAGATCTTCTGCCTTTTAGAGTAATAAAAAAAGAGATTGGAATTCTAACATGGAGAATGGTTGATTTTTATTTTCACCCCTGGATCCAAGGATCCGAATACAACAGTCCATTGTCAGTTTTTTTCTGTCTTCAAATGTTATATAACCTATTATTTAGACATTTATTCACCCGACAAGCCTTAATTAGCTCTCTAGACCATCAGATGGCTTAGATATTGAATAGATTAGAACAGCCTTGCCATTTAATAATATAAGGTTAAAATGGATAAACAAGACTATAATCAGGCCCCGAGTTCACAACGCATTCTCAGATATAAGTTAAGAGTTTACGCAACTTTCAATCACTGTTTATGAGAAATATCTTTGATCCAGAAACACAAAACTTTGCATATAGTTTCTTATTGATGTATTTAATATATTAAAACAAGGAAAGTTTTATAAAGAGCTATAATTTTAGTTAAAATAAGGCGAACAATTTTGAGTAAATTCTTAACTTAAGTCTGAGAAAGCTTTGTGAACTTGGGGCCTGATCTTTCTAAAACCCAACTCAAGCAGCATCTTGACTTGCAAGAAGTAGAACTGTCAAGCAAACAATACCTGGTGGTCCAAATATTATGTAAGGCAATGGACGACTTTGTCCCAGCACTATTTTAATAACGGCCATTTTCTGACAGTCGTTTAAATCTGGATTAATAAAGACAATCTTATCCTGAATCCATGGACTAATACTAGGTAAATATTTTTTGGGTTTCCGTGGCGACGCTGGAGCGACTGTTTTAGTTTGTTTGTGTCCAGGTAACTTTCCGTCATTGCAAGATTCTAAAATTTCCTTCACTTTATTAATGTTCGCATATTTAGTGGGAGAAGAAGGTTTTGTTTTTTCTGGTTTTTCTTGCTCTTGCTGTGGTTTCTGATAGTTTATATATGTTGTATCTAACGGTACGACGTCCATATTGTAAACAGGTTTCTTGACTTCAATTTGTGGTGTCTTCATTGTTACGTTCAAGGGAAATAAAACTGAAAGATATAAAACATTAATTACAATATACAGAGAATCTTCTGTTTGTCTTTTTTTATATCAAAAATATCCAATCTAATTAAAATATAGATCTATATTTTGTTTCGTTTTTTATACTTTCGATGGCCTACACTACATGTATATCTAACAAGTTATAGTGGGAGTTCACGTTCTATGACATCAGGTACCAAGCAAGCGACATTTGACCCGATAACGTCAGTCATTCGATTAACCAATTAGCGACCGCCATGTATTTTTAAATCTACTTTTGCTTTGTTTTGATTTCTATCGCTGGTAATGTCTACCCACAGTTCCGCGCAAAAAAGGTCAAACGCTCGATTCGACAGACCATTTGATTTACTGACCCCTCATTTCAAGCAGAACACGAGCTAAATAACAAGTCTTCCAGATCCAAATGTAGTAAAGACAAGTAAAAACGAAATTTTGAACTATAAAAAACGAAACAAAATTGGATCTGTGTTTTAATTAGATTGAAAAATATCAACACAAGTCGATAATGTAATTGACCAATGAAATTCATGTTAAGCGATATCTCCTAAAAAAGTAGAATATGAAAGATATCGCACAAGTAATAGCTACTGTAGAATGTGTTATTTGGTGATAAATCATAATATTCATCATCAAGGCTCTTAAGATGGCGTCATTGATGCAGGACTGAGGGCCTGACAAGGAACAACATATAGCCGTTCAGATGATACGAATAACCGAGGTCCCGTGTACACACTGGCGTGCATGTAAAAGATCCCTTGACAGTTGGAATTTGATATAAGAGTAGGCCGTAGTGCCGCTGTCTGGGCAAAATTTCACTCATAGCACACTGTATGGCGTATGCCCCGTCTTCATTAGCCCAGTTCGGAGCAGAACAGTAGGACGTTAAACTCCATTTCATTTTATTTCTTAAGATGGCCGACTATAGCTAGCTGCAATCAGGCTATCAGACAATCCTTAACACAGACCAAAGATAAAACGGCTGTTGTACACAAATTTTTCACATAATTCAGAGCACCATGATGTTGACATGCATCAGCCGTGGTACTGTTAATAAATACCATCATGGTTAGGACAGTCATCAACAACAGATATTACTGGAGGAGGTAGATTGTTCATTTTGGGGCTTTTTTCTGCAAACTGAACTAAAACAAGGCTACATAATTATGTTCAGTAGTCAGATTTAGGATATGTTATTTTGTAATATTAGATAGAGCATGTCAACTACTGCCATTCTAGATCGCCCATGTGAAATAATGCCATTCCAGACACCCGATGTCAATTACTGAGATTCCAGATAGCCAATGTCAACTACTGCCATTCTACTGTCATCCCAGATAGCCCACGTCAACTACTGCCATTCTACTGTCATCCCAGATAGCCCATGTCAACTACTGCCATTCTACTGTCATTCCAGATAGCCTACGACAACTACTGTCGTTCTACTGTCATTCCAGATAGCCTACGACAACTACTGCCATTTTACTGCCATTCCAGATAGCCCATGTCAACTACTGTCATTACAGATAGCCCACGTCAACCACTGTAATTCTACTGTCATTCCAGATAGCCCACGTCAACTGTAATTCTACTGTCATTCCAGAAAGCCCATGTCAACTACTGCCATTCTACTGTCATTCCAGATAGCCCATGTCAACTACTGCCATTCTACGTCATTCCAGATGGCCTAAGTCAACTACTGCAATTCCAAATATAATCTCTATATACTTACAATCTATTCCTAGTTGTTTTACAGCCAATCTTATACCCTGATGACATCTTCGCAAGGATGTCCTGCAGCACAAAAATACAAAAATTAATATCTACGTGTATGTGTAAAATATTGTCATTTAGTTTTCATTAGTAGGACATTAAACCCCATTTCATTTAATTTCATTTCGTGGGGATTGGATGGCCGAATAAATAGCATGTACGCGCTGTATCATAAGGTCTGCCATTGAGTCAACTGGCGTGGTTTCGATTCCACGGTTGTAAGTGGCAAGGAGTAAGGTCGCCTGTCCGGGTCCTCCGGTTTCCTCCCACTGCATTTCATTTCTTTGATAATGTTTTTATACCTGGGCCCTTATTCACGAAAACTTAAACTAAGATACAATCGAAATTTTAAGAAATACTGCAATTCGATTGGCTGACCAATATGCAAATTGGATATATGCAAATTGATTTTACTGGTCAGCCAATCGAATTGCAGTATTTCTTAAAATTTCGATTGTATCTTAGTTTAAGTTTTCGTGAATAAGGGCCCTGCTTCAATTTAGAGGTTAATTTCTGAGGCCAGGTCAGGCCCGTAGCCAGCAGGGGGGGAGCAAGAGGGGCATGTTGGTCATTGGCTTCGTACCGCGTCGATTTTTTCTAGGGGAAGCAGCTGTCCCTCTTGCACTCCGCCCATCCTGCAGGTTTCTATAATTTCCGTTCAGGACATAATGCCATGTAATTACCTGTTAAATGTAAACTCTACATCATAATCTTCTCCGTTATATTTATTATGAAAGTCATAGCTAAATTTCAGTAAAACTTCTTGATTCAAAACCTATCATACAAAAAAACATAAATTACGAGAACTTGAAAATATTATTTATATATAGTTAGTGCAGGGGGACTGCACCATACATAAACATAGAGAGAGAGAGAAATAGGGTTTGACATCCACTCGACACAAACTGGGTCATTACAGGACTAACATATGGTTCAATTTTATCCCAATAATTCGCTTGCGCGTAGGGGTCTTTAGCATTGGGAGGAAACCGGAGGACCCGGAGAAAACCCATGAGGTTAGACAGGTGACCCTACTCCTTGTCACGTACAACCCGGGAATCGAAATCACACCAATTGATTCAATGACAGATCTTATGATACAATGTGGACGTGCTAAACATTCGGCCATCCAAGCCCCCCGATACATAAAGAAATATACAAGACAAATGTAAGGACATGACACACTATACAGACATCACAAACATATAAAAGATCAAGTGAATGGATAAACCTCCACTGCGCTGTACATTTCCCTGGTCAGTAGTCATATATAATTCACTCAAAATGAAAATCAAATCGTCGGTGAAGTGTCAAAAGCGTGTATCTAAGGATTTCTAAAGATTAAGAAATAGAAACTTTTGCATTTCAAAATTTCCACAAATCAAGATACAACATTTGGACACATGATATCCAGAACAGTTCTAATTGGCGTAGAGGTACACAGCTTAGACAGAAATGTGCATATTAATTGGGAGAGTTTAAAAATGCAAAAAAAGTGTATTTGACTAATTTCCCGACGAAATGTTGAGAGAAATTTATTTCTGTGGTCATGTGTGCAATGCTATCAGGTGAATTTTGCCTGGATAGTGGCATTTCGATCAGCTCTTCATGCTGGTTAATATATTTCAATGGGTCTCTTTTTAATACAAATAAAAATTCAAACCGCAAGATTATCTGCCGTTAATATTTTGATTTTGTTTTCTTAAACTGATGTTAAAGATGGGTTCCCAGAAAAGTATTTATCGGGTGGTTATTTCCAATAAAAGTATGGCAATTTTGGTATATATGGAAAGTAGAGATATCCAAACTTACTAGAAAAATACTGGATTTCCCGAAAAACACTCATGGAGCGTATACAGGACAAAAATGTAAGGGTTCCCCTGATAGACAGCCCGACGATTAGGAATTTCTGCACGCATGATGTCAAAGGTCACACGCGAACATTGAGCGCTTGATGTACAAGTAGATAAACTTTATGAAGAGTTAGACGTACAACACTTTCTGAGATAAAAATGACAGAAAAAGACGCGGCTAGTGGATAATCTGAGAATTTAATTAGGATTCAATATTTGTAATAAATAGTAAGCGATTAAAGACAACATCGTCTTATGTATGCAATGAATTCTCCTCTGACTTCCGAGAGAGGTAAGTCAAGTGTCATAAACATGACCTGGTTTGATCGAATTTTTATAGCAGGGCATTCCTTGGCAATTACAATGTTTGAGAAGGATTTGAAGCAAAATTATGACAAATTAATTAGTTTGAATATGTTTTTAGTCCATATATACCATTAAATCACCCAGTTTGTACGTGGGAATGTATCTTTAAATAATCAAATTGGTTTCTTGCGAAAAATTATATATTTTCTGAAAAAAAATGCAATGGCTGATCATTAGCTTTAAGATTGATTCTTGACAACAAAAATTCAAAAATTCAAATATGTAAAATTTGTCCAATGATTAAATTACCTCATGTACGAATCCCTCGTAATATGGTCCATCGGGATCCCCCGGTATCGAGAGTATAATTTTATCCCCCATTAAAACCGATGGTCGACCTTCTGCTAACCCTGTTACTGCTAATCCTAAACATCTACCCACATGTCGGAGACACACCTACAATTAAAGATACATAATAGGAGATTAGATAACAAGCTGACCGTTCTCACTATAATAGTTAAAGTTACAATTTCATATTTTTACGTTATATTTTTAAAATGTATTAACATAAAGCCTTAAAATAGATGGTATCTATAAACAGTCCTACCTTGTTAAAGAATAGTCCTATTAATCCTATAATTCACTATTGCCAGTTGAGAAATTGGCAAAAGTATCATTTTCAACTTCAAATTCAAACGTTTGAAGATAGCTATTCCATGGTGGGGAATAGGAAAACAAGGGAGGTAATTGGGAGGTAATTGTGTTATTGCCGGTGTGAAGATTTTTAAGTGTGAGAAAGATAACCTATGATCGTATAATAGTGAGTTGACAACAGAAAGACATAGAAATAATTATGTTTTGACTTTCTTAGAAAATATGAAATTGTAACTTTAAATAATAGATAATGTAATGGGAATATCCTGAAATTTTCAGTCAAATTACTTCACTCTAAGCTGAGAAATACTGATTTTAAAAATCTTGTAACCTTGATTGTCCTTTTTGACGTTGTGACAGAAATAAAAAAAATTATTATCCATTTTTGCGTTTAATTATGATTAATTTAAAATCTAATGAACATCAGAAGCATCAGATGGCATCCACAGTTGATTATGGTCTTGTCACGTTAATAAATGTCTAATTAATAGTTTATATAACATTTCAGGCCTAAAGAAAAACCAGCAATAGGCAGATTTAGTTCTTGCATAATGTATGTTTAAACAGGAAAAAATGGCTTTTAATTTTTCTGAGAGAAAGAGAGAGAGAAATGAGGTTCACAGTCCGCTCAACATAAACTAGGTCATTTGGGACTAACAATTGAAGAAATTCTATTTCAATAATTCGCTAGGGGTCTTTAGCAGTGGGAAGAAACCGGAGGACCCAGAGAAAACCCATGAGGTTGAACAGGAGACTCTTCCCCTTGTCACATACAAGAGGGGATTCGAAATCACGCCAGTTGACTCAGTGACAGACCTTGTGATTCCATGTGTATGCGTTAAACCAGTAGACCACCTTTTAAAGATACATTATGGAAGATTAGATAAAGAGCTGGCAGTTCTCACTATAGTAGTTAAAAACTTGATAATGTATAGGGAATTTGCTGAAAATTTTAGTCAAATTGATCCACTCTGAACCGAGATAAGGATTGCTTGTCCAACTTTGTGGTTTTTCTTCAGGTTCTCCTGTTTCCTCCCACTGCAAAAGACCTCTACGCGCAAGCAAATTATTGAAATAAACGTGATCTATATGTTAGTCCCAAAATGACCTAATTTGTGTCGAGCGGACCGTGAACCGCTCTCAAAAGGAATCTAGACTGAAAAATCCAGAAGACCTTTCGAAAGATCAAACTTGGGTTCCGAACTCCTTGTTAGGGAGCCAGCATCATGTGCACTTTGTCGCTATGGCTCCAATTTTTGTTTTAATCTTAACCAAACTGATTAAAATACAGATCTATATTTCGTTTCGTTTATTTATACTTTCGATAGCCTACACTACATGAAGATCTGACCGGTTGAAGCGATAGGTCGCGTCAAAGGTCATACACGCGGCTTTTGACCCTATGCCGTCAGACATTTGATTAACCAATCAGCATTGATGTTACTAGTTGAATACCCACAGTTCCGTGCAAAACACGTCTAAAGCTCGCCGTAACAGACTGTTTCATTGGCTAATACCTCACACCATTCAGAACACGTCAATGATAACAACACTTCCAGATCCTAGTGTAGTAAAGACAAGTAAAACAAAATTGTGAACTATAAAAACGTCAATGATAACAACACTTCCAGATCCTAGTGTAGTAAAGACAAGTAAAACGAAACTTTGAACTATGAAAAAACAAAATCGAAATAGGATCTGTGTTTTAATCAGATTGAATCTTAGCCAAGAACTTTTTGTTTTTTTTATATATTACCAATTACTCTTTTAAAATAAATAAATGAAATATAATCAAACGATATTTTGATAAACAATACGATACCAACTTACTTGACTCAGATCAAATTCTCGTATATCTAATTCATATTGTATTTCTTCTAAATGTAATAAAGCGGAAAATCTATCAACATAATTGTCTATATCTAATACCTGAAAAAGAAATGTGGATTTATATAAATAAAATGAAATGGGGTTTAACGTCCTACTGTTCTGCTCCAACTGGCTAATGAAGACGAGCATTAGCTATACAGTGTGCTATGAGGGAAATTTTGCCTGGATAGTTGCACTACGGCCTACACTTATATATTGAATTCCAACTGTCAAGGGATCTTTTATGTGCACGCCAATGTGTACACGGGACCTGGGTTTTTCATCCCATCCGAACGACTAGACAGCTGTTCTTGTCAGGCCCTCCATCCTGCATCATTGACAAGGGGGAACCACACCGGAAAATCTGGATGAACTTTCTCAGCCAATTCAGGGATTGAACACCCGACCTCCAGGATGATTTATATAATACTAGTTGTTTTTCCCGGTTGATTGATTTCTTAATTAACAAGTAATAATTAATATAACCCGTTGTAATTTAACCGAAAGTAGATTAATTTAGTTGAAAGTAGATTGATTTATGATACCATAGTGGCCGGTTCATTGTTTTAACAATCAACCTTTTCAAAAATCAAGGGGCAATAACAAGTCGATTCAAATCACTGGTGGCACGGGTTGGGCCTTTGAACCGAAGTACTATAACTCCCGGTTTGAGCTTTCTTCACACACCAAATTTCAGCCTCATGGCAGCTCTAATGTAGTCACCAACCCGAAGCAGGGCAGCTCTAGTGTAGCCACCAACCCGAAGCAGGGCAGCTCTAGTGGAGCCACCAACTCCAAGCAGGGCACCTCCAGTGTAGCCACCAACCCCAAGGAGGGCAGCTCTAGTGGAGCCACCAACTCCAAGCAGGGCACCTCCAGTGTAGCCACCAACCCCAAGCAGGGCAGCTCTAGTGTAGCCACCAACCCTAAGCAGAGCAGCTCTAGTGTAGCCACCAACCCCAAACAGGGCAGCTCTAGTGTAGCCACCAACTCCAAACAGGGCAGCTCTAGTGTAGCCACCAACTCCAAACAGGGCAGCTCTAGTGTAGCCACCAACCCCAAGCAGAGCTGACAAGCATATTGTCCTTTAAATCATGCTTGAAGACTCACTTATTTAATTGTGAATATCAAACAACATGACAGTGGTGCTCAGCGCCATCGAGTACAACAGTTCGAGATAAGAGGCACTATATAAATTCATCATTATTATTATCATTATATTGTCTGCGATATCACTTCGATGGAAGCGGACGTTAAATAAAGTTATTTCACACATTATCAATATTATCATTACTGATCTGTGTCTGCTTAAAGGCTCAATTCACTCTTGTTGTAACTGAATAATATGTCCCAATCTTTATTCTGGTCAACAAATTGTACTATTTTACAATATTCCAATTAATTGATGATACAAATTTCATCTCAACACACCTAATTTAAAAAATTGGAAAAATTCAACTAAATGATTTCAAAAGCCTAACGTAAAGCTTTTCAAATGTGACTTGGATTTAAAAATATTTTTGAACCCTTTGGACAAGTAAAATAGGATTTAATGGATAATTTACACAACAGGTAGGACACATCTAGTACTTAGAATAAGGCTATTTTTTATTTTCTGGAGCTGTCAAGCCAGCAAAAGTGTTATTGTCCCTTTAATAAAGATTAAAGAGGCCAAGTCGAAACGTACTTCTGTTAGAGCAGGTTCTATAGCTGTTACTTCACCTTTATCTATAACACTGTTACGTAAACTATCTGGTACGGGATAATGATCTAATCTCTTGGGTAAAATCATTTTACCACCTTTCCTGAAAAAAATTTTAATTTAAACATCACTAATCTTTAAAGATGGGTTCCCAGAAAAGTATTTATCGGGTGGTTATTTCCAATAAAAGTATGGCAATTTTGGTATATATGGAAAGTAGAGATATCCAATCTTACTAGAAAAATACTGGATTCCCCGAAAAACACTCATGGAGCGTAAACAGGACAAAAATGTAAGGGTTCCCCTAATCAACAGCCCGACGATTAGGAACACGCATGATGTCATCAAAGGTCACAAGCGAACATTGAGCGCTTGATGTACAAGTTGATAAACTTTATGTAAATACTTTCTGAGATATAAATGACGGAAAAAGACGTGGGTAGTGGATAATCCGAGAATTTAATTAGGATTCGATATTTGGAATAAATAGTAAGCGATTAAAAACAACATCGTCTTATGTATGCAATGAATTCTCCTCTGACTCCCAAGACATGACGTAAACATGACCTGGTTTGATCGAATTTTAATAGCAGGGCATTCCTTCGCAATTACAATGTTTGAGAAGGATTTAAAGCATAATTATGACAAATTAATTAGTTTGAATATGTTTTTGGTCCATATATACCATTAAATCACCCAGTTTGTACGCGGGAACCCATCTTTAAATCAATATGAAAATGACACAAAATTACAGCTTTTTTTATCAAAACAAAATCTATTCAAGTGATGGTTTCATTGGAACTTGTAGGGAGCCACGGGGGCTAAGCGGGTAAGACGCTGTCTCGCTAGCCTGGGGGTCGCGTATTAGATCCCTGCGTTGGCCGAGAAAGTTCATCGGGATTTTCCGACATGGTTTCCCCTTGTCAGTGGTGCAGGACAGAGGGCCTGACAAGGACAGCTGTCTAGTCCTTCGGATGGGATGAAAAACCGAGGTCCTGTGTATACATTGTCATGCACATAAAAGATCCCTTGGCAATTGGAATTCAATGTTAGAGTAGGCTGTAGTGCCGCTGCCTGGGCAAAATTTCCCTCGTAGCACACTTAACGGCCTATGCCTGCCTTTATTAACCCAGTTGGAGCAGAACAGTAGGACGTTAAACCCCATTTTATTTCATTTCATTCGAATTTGCCTATACTGGAGCTCATATCACTAATAAGTATAAATATGTACATGCGTTTTTTGGACAATATTTAATTTTTCACTGCTAAATCCTGGTAGACAACAAAGATTAATCTTATGAATTATATTTTGATATGATACTTACAGTTTTGGTCTTTGTCCTGGTATTGTCCATCTCCCTTCACCATTAGTCTGTAACTTTACATTTGTCTTGGTCCTATGAACAATAATGTAAAGAATAAATATGCCAGCTGAGCTTTAAAGGTACATTATGTATGAGCTAAATCTGGCTTCAAATTTTATATAAGTTATTATTTAGACATTTATTTACACATCAAGCCTATAATCATCTCTCTAGATAACCAAATGGCACAGATGCAAATAGATTAAAATATGATCGTCATTTAATGATTTAATTAAAAAATCAATGTCAAAAATCCAAACAGTGATAATGTCACTCAGAATAAAGTAATTTAAATGAAATTTTCAATATATTTATTTTGAATTATCTATTTTAGAACTATTATAGCAAGAACGTTCAGCTCTTTATCCAAATCTTACATAATGTATCTTTAAGTAGAAATAATATTATAGGCCTGTCATGTGAATAATTGTCTTAATAAAAACCTTTGAAGCCAACAGATAGACCAGCAATAGACAGATAGACTTAACTCTTACATAATGGAATTATATATTCCCAATTTCACTTCAAAATTTCTCCAGTCGGTCAACTTTTTATTTTTCACAAAGCATTCTCAGACTTAAAGGTCACCGGAAAAGGTTCATAAATTTTTTAAATAATGCAAGTAATTATGTCAACATATCCTTTCCATAAGTATAACACGAACCCGAATGTCAATATTACCTGCAACAGGTAAATTTCAACGTTAGCAATTTCCGCCATTCTCCGTGGGTAGTCGTAACTTTCCGTAAATTTGACGTCATTTTAGTCCTTCTGCTCATATTCTAGTCTATATTTCTATGTGCAGAAGGACTAAAATGACGTCACGGATTGCTTATTGACGGAAAGTTCCGACTACCGACGGAGAACGGCGGAAATTACTAATGTTGAAATTTACCTGTTGCAGGTATTATTGACGTTCAGGCTCGGGTTATACTTATGGAAAGGATATGTTGACATAATTACTTGCATTATTTAAAAAAAAAATTGATGCTTTTCCGGTGACCTTTAAAGGAGCTAAAGCGCTAATATTTTGGACCTAGAAATTGGCAGAAATGGGTCGCAACACGTATAATAATTTAATATGAATTTATATAGACTGTTTTACATTCAATCGTGTCCGTTTTACTGTGAATTGTCATCAGTTATGTTCGGCGAAATACGCCAGAAGTCTAAACCGCAAGTCAGTTTCTAGCGTCTGGTTATTCCAGTCAACGCAGATATTATTTATTGCACATGCTTTCCAAATAAGAATATGATATCACCGTTTGACATGACTTGTGGAATATGTCTAGTCTCATTCTTTGAGCACCTTGTTACAAATGGCGCTGAAACGCATTGTGGTACACGATTCGTGTACCAATGGTAAAATGTTTATTTTGTCTTGAATATTGGATATGAGAAGCCCATCTTTTCCAGGTAAGATTACAACACCAATGCTTATTTAAATTGCAAAAAAATTATTGTTTTCAATGTCGAAGATTTTGGATGATATTGAGTTACGGAATTAGCTACTTTAAGAATTTACTCAACTTTCAATCACTGTTTATGAGAAATATCTTTGATCCAGAAACACACAACTTTGCACATATTTTCTTATTGATGTATTTGATACATAAAAACAACAAAAGTTGTATAAAGGACTATATTTTAGTTAAAGTATTGCGAACAATTTTGAGTAAATTCTTAACTTAAGTCTGAGAATGCTTTGTGAAGTCGGGACCTGGTCTTTAGATTTTGGGGGAAAATATCAAAATGAAAATAACCTATCAATTTATGTATAAAACAATACTAAAGTGGTAATTTACACAGATTATAAGTGAGGAGGGTCAAGAGGGTGTTCTTCAATTTGCAAACAGATTTTTGATTTCAAGTAGCAAAAGTCAAGCTGATTAAAATACAGATCTATATTTCGTTTCTTTATTTTATAATTTCGATGGCCTCTACTACAGGAAGACCTGACCAGTTGTAGTGGGAGGTTGCGTCAGGGGCTTTTGACCTGTTACGTCAGCGTTGATGTTTCTAGTAGCATACGCACAGGATAACTCGCTGCAACAGACTGTTTCATTGGCTAATCCCTCACATCATTCAGAACGCGGGTTATATAACAACTCCTCCAGATCCTTGTGTAGTAAAGACAAGTAAAAAAAAACGAAACGAAATAGGATCTGTGTTTTAATCAGATAGTAGCAAAGTAATCTACCCTAAACTGCGAGCATCTTTAGTTCTTGGCGCCACACAAGTAGCTCTCCATTCACACTTTCCTTGTTCACTCTCAATAGCTGTTATTCTAACAGGATCCCATTTCTTTGGTTTATAAGAATTTAAACAGACTTCAAGAGTAAAGAAAGTATCTCCATTAATATAACCATGATCTCCTTTAACTAGAGTTATCTCCCCATTAACTGTCAAGCTTCTCAACGGTTCAACATTTTCAGCTGTTATCAGTACATCTGAATGAGTAAAAACATCTGCTTTCACCCAATCTCCTATGAATGGTTTGAATTCACCGAGGCAACCATCTTCAATATCAAATATGACATTTTCATTAATACGACCCTTGCCGTTTTGAATAGAAGCTACTTTTCCTACAACAGCTGACTGATTATTACAATCTGAGGCCCCCCCGTCTTTAAAATTATCTATTCCAATTTGCCATGTGGCCGTATCTAGCGTTACACTTTCAGCCAACCAGCCTCCATTTTCTTGCGTCTGTATTGCCATTGCCGAAACTTTATCTCCAACTTTCGGATTTTTTTCTCCGCTAACGCTATAAAAAGAGAAATACACCTCGTGATCTATCAGACCTTGTCCATTAAAAATTTGCGTTATTTCACCGTGGATTTGACGTCTTTCATAGACTTCTTTTTCTTTTTCAAATACTGGTAGTTTTCGTAAATTATCAGCAAATTCCTTTTCTTCATCATCCGCGTCTGGTACCATGTAGTCAATAATTTGACCAATTAATGTCAACATGTTTTCGGCCTTCACATCTTTCTCTCACAACCTGAAATGAAATCAAATTGGTTTTAACGTCCTGTTTGTCTGCTAACATGGAGGTTCTGTAATTGATCCTTGCTTTGGCCAAGAAAGTTCATCGAGATTTTCCGGCGTTGTTCCCCCTTGTAAGTGGTGCAGGACAGTTGTTCTGCTCCAACTGGGCCAATGAACACGGGCATACGCCATACAGTGTGCGCTGAGGGGAAATTTTGTCTGGACAGCAGCACTATTGTCTACTCTTATATCGAATTCCAACTGCCAATGGATTTTTGATGTGCATGCCAATGTGTACACAGGACCTTGGTTTTTAGTACCCTCTGAATGACTATACATTGTCCCTTGCCAGGCCCTCCGTCCTGCACTATTGACAAAGACAAGGAACAACCCCAGACAATCACAAATAACTTTCTCAGCTAATTACACTCACTGCGGGATCGAACACAAGACCTACAGATTAGTGAGCAAACTTCCTTACTCACTGAGATACCAGTTAGATGCAGTGTTTTCATCGAAGTTTAATTTTCCTGTTGCATTGTCATTTAGTTCTTGAGGGTTACTGATTAGTTCAGCTCTGAACATAGGTCTCATTTACACTTTCCCTGTACCGGACGAGTGTAATGAGACCTACGTTCAGAGCTGAACTAGTTACTGATGTGCATCCATTTTTAGGCCTACAGTAGGCCTATTATGGTCTGTACTAATTATCTCAAATTAATGGAGCTAAATCGCTAACATTTGGGACATAGAAATTGACACAAGTGGGTCGCAACTCATATAATACTGTAATATGAATGTATATAAACTGATATACATTCAATGGTTTCCGTTTTTACTCTAATTTCAAATCAGTTATGTTCCGCGAAATAAGACAGCAGTCGCAATCGAATGCAAATTTCTAGCGCCTGGTTATTCCAGTCTACATACGGCGTTTGGTTTGGTGCAATATGTCTAGCCTCATTCCTCGAGTCTCTTGCTAGAACTGGGGCTAAAACGCATTACGCCAATTACGGTACACGATTCGTGTACCAATGGTAAAATGTTTATTTTGTCTTAAATATTGGATATCAGAACCCCATCTGTTTCCGGTAAGATCACAGCATCAATGTTGATTTAAATTGACAAATAATTTGTGTTTTCAATGTTGAAGATTTTGGATGATATTGAGTTAGAGACTTAGCTACTTAGTACTTTAAAACAAAAACGCCTATTTCTCAGAGTTTCTGCTTTGCAACTTTACAAATAAAATATACATAATTTATGCATTTTCTATTTCTGTACAAATAGTACTTCTTTATACTAAAGAGTCACACCTTAAGTGCTCCTTTAAAACCGCTAAACTAAAAAGGGAAATTCCCACAATTCCAGAGAACAGCTAAAAATAGAAACTGATGAAAATGTTACTAAAAATAGTAAATCCCGACACAAAATAACTTTTTTGTAAAAATTGAAGATAACGAGTCTATGAAATTTATCCATACACACAATAAAATAACAAAACGTTCTTGCGGGAGAGTAAATTTATACGCACAAAAAATATATTTGTATGCAATAATGTTTCGTATTTGCGTCACTTCCGTTCACTTCTTTTGTGAGAATCAAAACATTGTTTATTGTATGAGTAATTTTCTTTTTTCATCAAGAAATAATAGAAATATTCTATAAAATTAGAGGACTATAGATATCGGTATGTATAAGACAGATATTTTTCTTTTCATAAGATGAAGTTTTTAGATAAATAATTTTGTAAGCTAAGCCATGAAAACGAAATTTGGCCTCTTTTTTTTTTAGAATTATTTCCTGAAGTCAGTGAAGAATCTGTGTCGACTCTAACTGGCAGGCAGACGGTAGTGTACTAGGAAGTGGGATTGACCATCTCTGCGTGTCCTATTGCATGTATTTCCTCACGTGATAAAAAAAAAAACAAAATAAAAAAAACGATATAAAGTTACAGTGTATGGTGATGTAATGGTTGGGTCGATTATGAAACATCTTTTCGTGTAGAATTATTACATGTATGTACTTAGTCTCGAAATGACCTAGTTAGTAGTTTAAGTAGACATTAAACCACATCTCTCCCCCTCTCTTCCCCCCCCCCCCTCTCTCTCTCTCTCTCTCTGGTAGAAAGATTCATCAAAAATATAGGCTTGTGCGACATATATGTAACCCAAATTTATGAAATTGATAGCCTAATGTGCTCTGTTTACATTTTGGATTGTCCTCGAACCCCATCCCATGTGAGCGAAATTTGGCCCCTTTTTTATTATTTCCCAGAGAATCTGTGTTGATTCATAACTAGCAGACCTAGACGGTAGGCCTACATTGAATATGGGATTTTGTCTCTCTGAAATTGATAGCCTAATAATAGCAATGCTTTATTTTACATTAAAGGAGCTAAATCGCTAATATTTGGTACCTAGAAATTGACACAAATGGGTCGTAACGCATATAATAATGTAATAGGAATATATATAAACTGATTTACATTCAATCGTTTCCATTTTTACTCTAATTTCAAATCAGTTACGTTCGGCGAAATATGTCTGAAGTCTCAATCGAATCAAAATTTCTAGTCTACATAGTATTTATTGCGCATATTTTCCCGATATGAATATGCCGTCACCGTTTGACGTGACTTGTTGAATGTCTAGTCTCGTTCTTCCAGTCCCTTGTTAGAATGGGCCTGAAACGCATTATGGTACATAATTCGTGTACCAATGGTAAAATGTTTATTTTGTGTTAAATATTGGATATCAGAAGCCTATCTTTTCCCGGTAAGATCACAACATCAATTTTGATTTAAATTGACAAATAATTCGTGTTTTCAATGTCGAAGATTTTGGATGATATTGAATTAGAGACTTGGCTACTTTAAATTGGATTGTTTGTCTCTCCCCTCCCAGCACAACATTCTTTTTAGATTATTTACCCGCTGTTATCAATACTTAAGTTTTGCTTACCAGGTACATGAAAATACAAACATTAGATAAATCCATTTTACAATTTTTAGATTTTGTGACCCGAATATGTTTTGTGATTTGAATTGTATCGTGATGCAGTGAATTTTATTCTGCTTCAGATTAGGAGAATTAAGATAATTACTAATGCACAGACATCAGTGTTCAAGCGGGAGGCTTGGTCTATTTGTTAAATGCATGAATATTAGATACTAAGGTCTATTGAGTGGTGTGGTTTCCATTTTCCCTTGTACAGTACATGACATTGAGTAGGAATGTCTGTCCAACCTCATGGGTTTTCTCCAGGTTCTCCGGTTTCCTTCAACCTAATGGGTTATTACTGGGTCCTCTGGTTTCCTGCCACTGCTAAAGACCCCTACACGTACACACCAAAAAATTTTTGAAATAAGATTGAACCATATGTTGGTCCCAAAATGACCTGGTTTGTGTCGAGTGGACATTACCCCCCTCTCTCTCTCTCTCTCTCTCTCTCTCTCTCTCTCTCTCTCTCTAGATCTCTCTCTCTGAAGACACAAGAAAGGGTACTCAAGCTTTGCTCATCTTGTTGTTCTAGGGGGCGAAGCTCTGCAAAAAAGCCAAGGCACCGACAATTCATGTACAGTGAATAGGGTGATCCATGCACTCTACAGAAAGTTGGTCTCGACACGTCTAATGTGCACGCTTCAGTGGTTGTCTCGAACTACCAGCGGTGGACTGTATGATACTATAAATAGCCATGGCACGTGCAATTCTCTACAAATCTATCAACTATTACAGCCGTAAAAAATCTATTGTTGACGATTTTGAATAGCAGTAAAATATAGCTTCTTGGTTATTACAGCAGCTTTAGAAATTACGTTCGTTTTTTTTTTTAAATTACTTTATCATTAACTGTACCGTTAAGAGCGGCATCTTTTGGTTTAGTACAAATAATATCTCTGGATCACTTTGGTTAGCAGGAACATGATACTAGCAGTAGTTTCATTTTATTTTTACAAGCTTCTTAAAACAATTGTTGAGCTGGCTAACGTGCGTTTTTCTAAATTCATTTTCTTGTTCCAGCTTTCTGTTATGTTTCGTAAAAAGGTAGTCTTGATTATTCCGACCTGTCAATCAGACGTAGAATGGTCGGTAGACTGGTTAAGCGAGACTAATTTCAAAACAAGGGCACGTAACCTATCTTTTACTCAAAAGTGTCTGGATGTTATGGACGAAACTTGGAACCAGTTTCAGTCTATTATTTATAGATGATTAAATGGTCATAGCTTATTAAGTACAACATGATCGTTTAATTAGTGACTATAATTGTGTGAAACTGATTTAAGGCTTGGTATATATATAAATATTGTGGCGTAATTGTCGAGATATTTGGAGATATTTATTTATGGTGGGTCACCCTACAGTGAACATGAAACTTGTAATGCTTGTTCATTGAACAATTGCCCATGGATCAAAAGACTACAATTCCAAGATGGCTGCGATGGCGTCATACTCAGTTCTTGGTCCATAGCACAGTTCTATATAATGTAAGATTGATCTTTTTACATATGTACTGTGTATCGATTATTTTAGTATAAAATAAATCTTTGAATTGTTTGCTAAATGTAGCTTTTGACCATTAAATAGAATAGTGCTCATCTGTACTGTATTATAGGCTCCCATTAATTTCTCTAATACTGCAGCTATTATAACTGAATCCATTAATTAATTATTTATTGATATCCCAATGGTGGCTATATGACCGTAATTGATTCCATTGTTATTCTGTTTGTTTAAGTTATCTCTATTGGATTAATGTCAGCTCAAATATTGCTGACTTAGTCATCATGTACATGTATTTCATCATAAAAATCTCTGGGAATAATCTCAAGTATTGCTGACTTAGTCTGAGTCATCTTGTTCATTCACTTTAGGGGGGTTGGGTGGCCGAATGGTTAGCATGTGCGTGCTGTATCATAAGGGCTGTCATTGAGTCAACTGGTGTGGTTTCAAATCCCCGGTTGTTCGTGACAAGAAGTAGGGTCGCCTGTCCAACCTCGTGGGTTTTCTCCGGGTCCTCCGGTTTCCTCCCACTGCTAAAGACCCCTATGCGCAACCGAATTATAGAAATAAAATTGAACCGTGTGTTAGTCCCCAAATGACCTAGTTTGTGTCGAGTGGACGTTAAACCCCATTTCTCTCCCTTTCTCTCATTCACTTTATTTCATTTTTTTTTTTTTATGCTTGCAATGTCTGTGTAGTTTGTGCCTTATCCGCAGGTTTGTCTTATCGGTTTTGTTTGTGTGTAGTGAGGTCCTCCTGCACTTACCATTTTGTGGTCTTATTCCTGATACTTCATCAGAAGTTCTTGGGCTAATCTGGATATTATCTAAAATTGTATGAAATGGAAATGCATCAAGCGGACCAGTGAAGAAGGACATATGACATCCAGTGTCCTTTTCACCCAGTCTGAGGATAATTTTTCCCTGGACAACGACGTTTATGCCAGTTCTGTCCTATCCCAAGAACTAATTTAACAAATGGAAGATTATCTGGGCAGGCCTTAATGTGCGACAATACATCTAACACTGGAAATAAGACAAGTATTCTTTCAACGGGTTGGGGAGCCGCAGTGGCTAAGTAGGTAAGACGCTGGCTCGCTAGTCTGGAGGTTGCGTGTTTGATCCCTGCATCGGTTGAGGAAGTTCATTGGGATTTTTCGACCTGGTTTCCCCTTGTCAGTGGTGCAGAACAGAGGGTGGACCTGACAAGGACAACTGTCTAGTTGTTAGGATGGGACGAAAAACCGAGGTCCTGTGTATACATTGGCGTGCACGTAAAAGATCCCTTGGCAGTTGGAATTCTATATAAGAGTAGGCCATAGTGCCACTCCCCGGGCAAAATTTACCTCACAGCACACGGTATGGCTTATGCCCGTCTTCATTAGCCTAGTACATGTTTATTAGCAGAACAGTAGGACGTTAAACCCCATATCATTTCATTTCATTTCAACGGATTGGGTGGCCGAATGGTTTGTCATTAAGTCAAGTGGCATTGGTATCAATTCCACACTTGTATGTGTCAAGGAGTATGGCCTGTCCAACCACAGGGTTTTTCCAGGTCCTCTGGGTTTCCTCCCACTGCTAAAGTACCCTATGTGCAAGTGAATTATTGAAATAAAATTGAATTGTATGTTAGTCCCAAAATGACCTACTACCTAGTTTGTGTAGAGTGGATGTTAAACCCAATCTCTCTTTCAATGTTGTCAAGCTAATACAGTAACGCAAACGTTTATAAAGAATGTTCTCTAAAAGTTATCAAGCTAATACAGTAGTATAAACGTAGCCCAAATATACATGTACATGTGTATATTATTAGATGTTGTCCGCAAGTACAGGCCCGGCAGAGTCGGGGGGCTAAAGCCCCCCCCCCCCCAATAATTTGGCTGCAAGTACTCTTTTCTCCAGGTTATTGCGACCCCTGGACCCACGCCTATAAGGACCTAGGATGGAAGCCCCCCCAATCAAGAATTGCTTCCGCCGGCCCTGGTATGTGTTATGGTTTATGTCTATCTAGATAAATGTATACACGTATGACGTACAGTAGTAGGGTGGCCCATGTACTCACAGAAATACAGTCCACCGCTGATAGTTCGAGACTACCACTGAAGCATGCACATTCGCCGTGCCGAGACCAACTTTCTGACAGTATGATACTATAAATAGCCATGGCACATGCAATTCTCTACAAATTTATCAACTATTACAGCCGTAAAAAATTTATTGTTGACGATTTTGAATAGCAGTAAAATTAAGCTTCTTGGTTATTACAGCAGATTTAGAAATTACGTTCGTTTCATTTTTTAAATCGCTTTATCATTAACTGTACCGTTAAGAGCGGCATCTTTTGGTTTAGTACAAATAATATCTCTGAAACACTCAGGTTAGGCAAGAACATGATACTAGCAGTAGTTTCATTTTACTTTTACAAGCTTCTTAAAACGATTGTTGAGCTACCTAACGTGCTTATTTCTAAATTCAATTTCTTGTTCTAGCTTTCTGTTATGTTTCGTAAAAAAGTAGTCTTGATTATCCCGACCTGTCAATCAGACGTAGAATGGTCGATAGACTGGTTAAGCGAGACTAATTTCAAAACAAGGGCACGTAACCTATCTTTTACTCAAAAGTGTCTGGATGTTATGGACGACTCTTGGAACCAGTTTTCAGTCTATTATTTATACGTGATTAATGGCCATAGCTTATTAAGTACAACATGATCGTTTATTTAGTGACTATAATTGTGTGGAACTGATTTGAGGCTTGGCATATATATAAGTATTGTGGCGTAATTGTCGAGATATATGGAGATATTTATTTATGGTGGGTCACCCTAACAGTAGTCTATAAATGGTTAATTATCATGTTCATTAGAATCAGTTCATGTTGTTAATTGACATATGGCCATAGTTTACATATTTATATGTGTAGTTAGGCCACACAGATGTATTCTTCTGTTCTTTGGGACAGGCCCATAGCCAGCTTGCTGGCGTAGAGGGGCAGTGAAGGTTTTAGTTGGGGGAGGGCCCAGTCTACCTACAGTAGGTGTTTTAGAGCTGTGGTTGGCAACTTTTTTATCGGGAGGGGGGGGCAAAACATTTTTTTCGGGGGGGGGGGGGGGGGGGCACTGGGAAAAAAAGACTAATCTACAAACCAGTGATACTTGGTTGTGTTTTTCAAAGTCTTTTAGTTCCCTGTTTTGAAGTTTTGAAAGTTTAAAAAACTAAACATTAATCAAGTAATTCAATCAAGTTAACATTTATTAAAGATGCATTGTTTAAGGTTTCCTCCCACTGCTAAAGACCCCTAAGCGCCAGCGAATTATTGAAATAAAATTGAACCATGTCTTAGTCCTGAAATGACCTAGTTTGTGTTGAGTGGACGTTAAACCCCATTTCTCTCTCTCTCTTGCATTGTGTAAGAGCTTAATCTGCCTTCGCCTGTCCAACCTCGTGGGTTTTCTCCGGGTCCTCCGGTTCCCTCCCACTGCTAAAGACCCCTACGCGCAAGCGAATTATGTAAATAAAGTTAAACCATATGTTAGTCCCGAAATGACCTAGTTTGTGTCGAGTGGACGTTAAACCCCATTTCTCTCTCTCTCTTAATCTGCCTATTGCATGTGTAAACAGATTGAAATACGCTAGACTTTTAATGATTTAATTTAAAAATGTAGAAGCGAGGCTGAGTCTCAATAACAAGTAACATTGCTACAATGAACAATCTATTTTAAACTTCAGACAGTGATAAGGTTATTTGAATGAAATTTTCAATATATTAATTTTTTATTATCTATTTTGGAACTATTATAGCAAGAACGTCCAGCTCTTTATCTAAATCTTACATAATGCATGTTTAATCAAGATTGACAAAAGATCTGAAAATTAAATATGGTTGGCCTAAGGAAACCATTGTATTATGTAGGTATACATACAGACAACATACATGTACAATGTTCATAAAGGAATCCACTGTTTACTGATAATTGGTGACAGATGGTCTGCTGACCTATTGACAGGTGACCTTTGACCTCTGGTCATTGTTTTGGTTGTTTTTATCCAGTGTCTTTCTTACCTGTATAGAAGATTTAGCCAGGTAACCTTTTATTGAAGCTTTTTATCCAGTGCTATTTTAAGACACATCTCTATAAATGGATTTGTTTAATACTCTGCCAACACATGTCTGATTATTCAGGAAGAGGATATTGACGTTAAAATCATGTTCTGGTGACAATTGATTCTATATTCGGCTGAGAGTAAACACAGTTTTTATCATTTAAAAGAAGGTATAAACACTGAGAGAGTGAGAGAGAGAGAGAGGTAATGTCCAAGCGACACAAACCAGGTCATTTTGGGACTAGAGAGAAAGACATTCACTCAACACAAACTACATGTATGTCATTTTGGGACTAACAGGTGGCTCAATTTTATTTCAATAATTTTATATCAACTTTTTTTTACAATTTCAAAGAAGGTATTAACAAGGTACCCACAGCAGGTTAGACAGTAGTGTTGGGGGGCTGGATGGCCGAATTGGTTAGCGTGTGTGTGCGCTGCATCATAAGATCTGTCATTGAGTCAACTGGCGTGGTTTCGATTCCCAGGTTGTATGTGACAAGGAGTACTAGGGTCAACTGTCCAACCTCATGGATTTTCTATTGGTCCTCCGGTTTCCTCCCACTGCTAAAGACCCCCTACGTGCAAGCAAATTATTGTAATAAAATTGAACCATATGTTAGTCCCGAAATGACCTAGTTTGTATCGAGTGGACGTTAAACCCTCTCTCTGTATCGATCGACAATAGTGATACAATATGTGTCAATTGATAAACAAATTGTACATGTAGTAGATACTGGCTATACACATTGTGAGAAGAAAGAAAGGTGAAAAATTAGTCCAGCTACACAAATATAAACACAGCAGGTTAGACAATAGTGTAATATACATGTACATGTATGATAGAAGTCGTTTTAAAACCTATACATACATGTATATAAGATATTTATTATTGAAATGAATTTTAACCCTTTTATCAGGCCATTTTGCAGGTCATGACCTATAAAAGTAAAAAATGTCAAATATTTTATACCACTGAATAGAGGAATTTAAGAGCTTTCCAAAAATATATATACATTTGTATGATTTATTCTTAAATTTAAAGAGTTGCAGGATATATTCTTACATTCTTAACTGCTTTTCCTAGTTGAAACCCCCCCCCCCCCCAAATCTGAAGGTTAAAGGGTTAAGGTAGAAGTGAATTAAAGATACATTATTATTACATTATGGAAGATTAGATAAAGAACTGGCAGATTTCATTGTATATTAATTCAAAACTAGATAATGTAATGAGAATTTGCTGAAAATGTCTGTCAAATTGATTCATTATGAACCAAGAATTAAGCCCCGATCATCATTACTAAAGTCAGTACGATTAAAAACATAGTCTCGATCATCCATTTCATGATTAAATTATGAATGGAAGTCGAGCAGCAAATGGGATCATAATCAAGTAAATATCACAGGCTAGTGATGCCATCAAGAGTTGATTATGGTCTGGATAAGTTAATAAATATCTAATTAATAATTTGGAAAACATTTCAGGCCTAAAGAAAGACCCGCAATTGGTAGATTTATCTCTTGCATAATGTATTTTTAAGTATGTGTATAAGAAATTTATTATTGAAATGAATTTTTAGTTGTTTACATTTAGGTAAGAATGGAGTTTGTAGAAAAAGAAGAAATATAATAATGTATTGTTCTATTTTATACGTGTAGCTTTGTTTTATCATATTAGATCATGTAAGATACACAGAAATATTTGTATACCTGAGGTTTTTACAGTTGAAACAAAGTTCAAATAAAGTCTTTCCTTTGTGCCAAATCTTGATAAATTGATTTGTAAAATAGATTTGAGGTTAGGTTAAGAGTTGAACAAGTGGACTAATGTTATGTGTACTGAAGTTAGACCTGTCATTTCATTCAGTTGCATTGAAATTGACTTAAGGAGAAATTGATCCGTTAGATGGTTTGTTAAATATAATTATTCAATGATGATTTTAAGAATCAAGACAGGATATTATTGATCTATTATATTGACTGTGATAATCATATATTGGCCTATGTTTCGTAAAACATTCTTAATTTGTTATAATTATTCAGTCAGGATTAAACCAAAACAGGACATTCACTTGATTTGATATTTTTTTATTTGGTGCCAATGTCTATTTTCTGTCTTGTCCGCAGGTTTATCTTGTAGATTTTTGTTTTGCATGTAGTGCGGTTTTCCTGCACTTACTATTAGTACATTAACATATATTGACCAGTCTTGTGAAACATTATAAGTTTTTATCTTTCTATTCGGGTTGAGATGACGTGTTCAGTTGGTTTATTCTGTACATGTATTTTGTTCTAATTAGTGGTGGTCTTATAAATGTAGGGTGGGTGGGTATACGAATGGTCCAGATCAAAAAGTCTGCGATAGAGTCATGTGGAGTGGTTTCGATTTCCCACTTGAAAATGACAAGGAGTTATGTCGCCTGTCCAACCTTGTGGGTTTTCTCTGGGTCCTCCGGTTTCCTCCAACTGCTATAGTCCCTTCACGCAAACGAATAATCGAAATGAAATTAAAACAAAATGATCTACATGTACTTTTGGTCAGTGGATGTTAAACTCCCATCTCTCTCTCCTTCTCTTCGTATAAATGGTAGCTGCACTGCAGTGGCTCAGTGAGAAAGACATTGGGTTGCTAACTGGGAGGTCGCGTGTTCGATTCCTGAGTCGGCCTGACCAAGAAAGTTCATCAGGATTTTCCTTCGCGGTTCCCTCTTGTCAGTGGTGTAGTAGAGGTCCTCTAGGGCCCTTATTCACGAAAACTTAAACTAAGATACAATCGAAATTTTAACAAATACTGCAATTCGATTGGCTGACCAATATGCAAATTGGATATATGCAAATTGATTTTACTGGTCAGCCAATCGAATTGCAGTATTTCTTAAAATTTCGATTGTATCTTAGTTTAAGTTTTTGTGAATAAGGGCCCTGCTTCAATTTAGAGGTTAATTTCTGAGGCCAGGTCAGGCAGTATTTGTTAAAATTTCGATTGTATCTTAGTTTAAGTTTTCGTGAATAAGGGCCCTGGTTAGAGAGCCAATGCCTTACTCACTCAGCCAATATTTCTCCCATTTTAAAAAGCAATGCTACATATATGAATGCTGTTCTCGTCATCTTCATGGAGTATTATTTCAGCCATTTCTTTTTCATTACCTCAAGTGTACATGTACATGTAGGTAACCATGGTAACGTAGGATCATTATCATTCTCCACTTAAAAGATCATTTTCAAATTAAGCAGATGAATGATAACAATGTGTTAATTTACGATTACGGTGTTAATTTACGATTACGGTATATCATTTATCAGTTGATAATCCAACCTGTATGTAGTACTTTCGAATTCAATTAAATACATTTAATAGAGTTACCCCCTCTTTACTGCTGGATCGATGAATGTGTTGTGATCAGTGAGGATGCTTTTATATTGTATTTGTGGGAGTCATGCATTCAATTTTTAAAGGGGCATTATGGAAGAATAGATAAAGAGCTGGCAGTTCTCACTATAATAGTTAAAAACTAGAAAATGTAATGGGAATATGCTGAAAATTTCAGTCAAATTGCTCCACTCTGAACCAAGATATTAGCGATTGAATTTTAGGCCTAGCCTCGATTATCATTACTAAAATCGGTACAATAAAAAACATAGTCTGGATTATCCATTTTTGGATTTAATTATCATAGAGCAGTAGATCAGATTCAAATCCAGTGAAAATCTGACACATAAGATGGCATCGAGAGTTGAATATGGTCTTGTTTTGTTAATAAATTAATGTCTAATTAATACATGTAGTTTAGATAACATTAAAGGCCTAAAGAAAGATCTGCATTAGGCAGATTCAGCTCTTGTATAATGTATGTTTAAGTGACACAGCTGTATTTTAGAACCAGAATATTTTTTTATGTGGATCTATATTTGGTTAAACTTTATTCATGGTCCGGTAGTCTGAGAGTGAGACCTTAAATATATGGCATCGATTATTCTCTTTTTCAGCGAGAAAACTTGTTTTATGGTCCGGTAGTCTATGCGTGTTCTCATCGTATTGGTAGTCTTGGGACAAGATGTCTGGACAAATGAGTCAAGAATCAGATAATGAATATAGTGATGATCATATCGAAGATGATGAAGATGAATATGATAATTATTACTATGACAACAATGATGATCTAGATCTAGATAAACCAAAGAAAAGTGATGATCCAGAATATTTCGAGTTTGATTTATTAAAAGTGGAAGATGTCGAGAGGTTGTTGAACGAGGAAGTAGAAGCATTGTGTACCTCCTTAAAGGTCAGTTACACGTCTGAGGCCTTTTGTTTTATTCAGAAAAATTTACGTCTGATTAAAACACAGATCCTACAATGTATTTCATTTCGTTTATATTTATAGTTCAAAATTTCGTTTTGTCTTTACTACACTAGGATCTGGAACAGTTGTTATCATTGACATGTTCTGGATGATGTGAGGGATTAGCCAATGAAACGGTCTGTTACAGCGAGTTCTTGGTGTGAGGTGCACAGAACTAGTAATCCACTAGAAACATCAATGCTGATTGGTTAATCAAATGTCTGATGTCATAGGGTCAAAAGGCAATTGTATGACTTTTGACACAACCTCCCAATACAACTGGTCAGATCTTCATGTAGTGCAGGCCATCGAAAGTATAAAAAAAAAAACGAAATAAAATATAGATTGTATTACTCTCAACCAATGAAAAATCGTCTTTCTTAAAATAATTTAATTTTTATGAATAAAGCCCAAAGGACCCTATTCTGACATCTTGAACAAAAATATCTTAAGGATACTGAAATTTTATTGTCTAAAAACTAGAATTTGTACTTTGTTATTCTCAGCCAAAGAATAGAACCATATGCCCTTTAAGTGATACATGTACATAGTATTAGGAACTCCTGATTAGTCTAGAGCCTGGTTAAATGTATGTTTTTAATGCTAGTGCAAAATGGAAGTAGACCAACCATATACTTTTTGTTTTCTTGCCAGTATTAAGTGATGAAACTCTTGTTATTTTTTTCTTTCAGATTACTCCCTCATTAGCGAAAATGTTATTACATGCCCATGGTTGGCAGAGATCTTTAATCATAGAAAGGTAGACTAAAATATTTATACTCTGTTTTCTGGTGTGGGGGTAGGCTTGGTAGTGGAATGGTAGAGTACATGTAGGATATTTATACTGTTTTCTGGTAGGGGGGTTGGGTCGTGGAATGGTCTAAGATTTGCACTTTAGATCACAAGGTCTGTCATTGATGAGGTGTTGAGTCACCTGTCCAACCTCGTGGGTTTTCTCTGGTCCCATCGATTGCCTCCCGCTTTAGATCATGGGGTCTGTCACTGAGTCAAGTGGAGTGGTTTTAACTCCCAATAACTGACAAAGAATAGGGTTCCCTCCCACTGCTATGGACGCAAAATTGAACCAGATGTTAGTCCTAAAATGACCCTGATTTTGTCAAGTGGATGTTACTCCCTTGTAAATGGCCGCATCACTTGTAAATGGCTGCATGACCTGTTTATCACAGACAGTTACCTCCCTTTAATGCCAGAAAAATTAATGCACAGCAATAATTTTTCTGCAAACAAGTCATGTGACCCTTCTTAAATGCTGCAGTAGTAACTGAGTAACCAGAACATTTTTTTGCATGATCCAGAAAGTTGCAGTAATTTGAATATTATTTTATTTGTAGACATCAAAGAGATCCAGAGAAATTTTTAGTTGATTCAAGAATTGTTGCCGATAAAAAGAACATATCCCAGGTACAGGCTTTATTTATAGGGGTACCGTCCCGATGAATGTTGGGGGGGGGGCAGAAATGAAATAGCTGAAAAAAATTCCTGTTGACAGCTGGTCGTCAACAAAAAAAAAAAGAAATGAAATGGGGTTCTGCTCCGAACTGGGCTAATGAAGACAGGCATACGCCATACAGTGTGCTATGTGGGAAATTTTGCCCAGACAGTGGCACTACAACTAACTCTTATATCGAATTCCAGCTTTTACGTGCACGCCAATGTGTACACAAGACGTCGGTTTTTCGTCCCATCCGAACAACTTAGACCGCTGTCCTTGTCAGGTTCTTCGTCCTGCACCACCGACAAGGGGAAACCACGTCGGAAAATCCCAGTGAACTTTCTCGGCTAATGCAGTGCGACTTTAAACCTGATGGCATGTTATATTGTGAATCTTTAATTTATTATGTTTAATAGAGTTTCTGTGTTTTTTTATTTTATAGGATATTATAATGGGAATAACACATACGTGTCCTATATGTGTTCAACAACTTACTAAAGATGAATTCCAAGCTCTTTCTTGTCAACATTTATTCTGCAACGAATGTTGGGATATGCACTTTAATATTCAAATTAACCAAGGATTAACTACAGGTAGGGGAGATAATTCTATCTACTTTTCTTTTAACATATATCTTATTTTATGAATTTATCCTATTTTATGGTTAATTAAAGAGTCTCATCGTCGTATTAGGGATTATTAATCGCATACATTTTCATGACAGTTTAATTTCTAGAAAAGATTTTACTCTAAAAATGGTTCAATTCCATTCATTATTCAGTGTGTTTTTGACCAACCCTTGTTTTATTGTGTTACCAACCCTTGTTTTATTGTGTTTGTGACCAACCTTTGTTTTATTGTGTATGTGACCAACCCTTGTTTTATTGTGTTTGTGACCAACCTTTGTTTTATTGTGTTTGTGACCAACCTTTGTTTTATTGTGTTTGTGACCAACCCTTGGTGTATTTTCTTTGTGACCAACCTTTGGTGCATTGTGTTTGTGACCAACCCTTGTTTTATTGTGTATGTGACCAACCTTTGGTGCATTGTGTTTGTCACCAACCCTTGTTTTATTGTGTTTGTCACCAACCCTTGTTTTATTGTGTTTGTCACCAACCCTTGTTTTTTATGTTTGTGACCAACCCTTGTTTTATTGTGTTTGTGACCAACCCTTGTTTTTTGTGTTTGTGACCAGCCCTTGTTTATATTACAGGTATAGAATGTATGGGTAAAGATTGTAAACTATTAGTACCAGAAGATTTTATCTGTGGTATATTAAAAGACACATCCATGAGAGAAAAGTATTTTAAATTCTCCTTCACAGATCTCATCAAGGTAGGTCATCATTTCACCCAGTCCTGGAAGGGTAAATGTTAAACCCATTTCTCCCAGTCATGGAAGGGTAAATGTTAAACCCTATTTCACCCAGTCATGGAAGGGTAAATGTTAAACCCCTTTTACCCAATCCTGGAAGGGTAAATGTTAAACCCTATTTCTCCCAGTCATGGAAGGGTAAATGTTAAACCCTATTTCACCCAGTCATGGAAGGGTAAATGTTAAACCCCTTTTACCCAATCCTGGAAGGGTAAATGTTAAACCCTATTTCACCCAGTCATGGAAGGGTAAATGTTCAACCCTATTTCACCCAGTCATGGAAGGGTAAATGTTAAACCCTATTTCACCAAGTCATGGAAGGATAAATGTTCAACCCTGTTTCACCCAGTCATGGAAGGGTAAATGTTAAACCCATTTCTCCCAGTCCTGGAAGGGTAAATGTTAAACCCTATTTTACCCAGTCATGGAATGGTAAATGTTAAACCCCATTTTACCCAGTCATGGAAGGGTAAATGTTCAACCCCATTTTACCCAGTCCTGGAAGGGTAAATGTGAAACCCCATTTTACCCAGTCATGGAAGGGTAAATGTTAAACCCTATTTCACCCAGTCATGGTCCCCAAGCTACTCATCAATTGGTTTTTGATGTCACAGTTCCAAGATGGTGACGATGACGTCATGCTCTTTTTGTGGTCTATATAGTACTACTCTACTTGTTTTTATAATAAACCTGACAAGGACAGCTGTCTAGTCATTTGGATGGGATTTAAAACCGAGGTCCCATGTATACATTGGCATGCACGTAAAAGATCCCTTGACAGTTGGAATTCAATATAAGAGTAGGCGATAGTGCCGATGCCCAGGCAAAATTTCTCTCATAGCACACTGTATGGCGTATACCCGTCTTCATTAGCCCAGTTTGGAGCAGAACAGTAGGACGTTAAACCCCATTTCATTTCACTTTTTTATAGTGAAAGTAAATGTAAAACAACATTTTTATGACTGATTGCATATAACAACCTTTTGCCGGTTGTACGTGACAAGGAGTAGGGTCGCCTGTCCAACCTCGTGGGTTTTCTCCGGGTCCTCCGGTTTCCTCCCACTGCTAAAGACCCCTTTGCGCAAGCAATTATTGAAATAAAAATTAAACCATATGTTAGTCCCGAAATGACCTAGTTTGTGTCAAGTGGACGTTAAACCCCATCTCTCTCTCTCTCTCTCTCTCTCTCTCTATAACAACCTTTTGATATTTTTTTCTTTCAGAGTCATTCACAATTACAGTCCCGAAATGACCTAGTTTGTGTCGAGTGGACGTTAAACCCCATTTCTCTCTCTCTCTCTCTCTCTCTTTCCTTTCTCCTTTCTCTCTCTCTCTATAACAACCTTTTGATATTATTTTTCTTTCAGAGTCATTCACAATTACAGTCCCGAAATGACCTAGTTTGTGTCGAGTGGACGAGTGGACGTTAAATCCCATCTCTCTCTCTCTCTCTCTCTCTCTCCTTTCTCTCTCTCTCTATAACAACCTTTTGATATTTTTTTTTCTTTCAGAGTCATTCACAATTACGATTTTGTCCAGGTCCTAATTGTTCTATCGTTGTTCAAGCGAAAGAACCCAAGGCCAAAAGAGTTGAATGTAATATGTGCAAATCTACATTTTGGTGAGTTCACAAACATTATAGCGTATTGCAGTACAAGTCTGTAATTTTCTTGATCCCGATTGGCTGAAGTGGTCATCTATTTAACTTGATAATACCCATCTAAATTCAGAGCAATTCCCCGCGAATTATATCATTCCTTAGCATCAATTTAAGCACAAAAACTGTACACTTTAAAGCTTTCATTCGAGCCTTCAAGAATTTTTCACAAGCAATTCTTAAATGTCACTAGTTCATTGAATGTGACAAGTACCCAACATTCTGTCTGGTGTATTTTATGTTGTTCTATAAAAAGAACTAATAATATTGTGGTGCAGGACGGAGGACCTGACATGGACAGTCCCATGTACACATTGATGTGTACGTAAAAGATCCCTTAACAGTTGGAATTCGATATAAGAGTAGGCTGTAGTGCTATTGACCAAGCAAAATATGCCAGTCTTCATTAGCCCAGTTTGGAGCAGAACAGTAGGATGTTAAACCCCATTTCAATTCATTTCATTTCTGAAGGGTTCCATGAATTATTAAACAAGGAAGGTTTAAACCCTAATCTCCTTGGTGGAATTATAGAAACGTATATTATATTATATTTTGTAGTTTTCGATGTGGTATAGATTATCATGCACCAACAGATTGTGACACGATAAAGAAATGGTTAATGAAATGTGCCGATGATTCTGAAACAGCTAACTATATTAGTGCTAATACTAAAGATGTAAGTCCACAAACAGACCAATACTCCATAAATTTGTTAAGCAAATTCCCTTTACATTATCTAGTTTTTAACTAATATAGTGAGAACTGCCAGCTATTTATCTAATCTTCCATAGTGTATCTTTAGTATTTGGAACTAAAAGCTTTTGAGAAGAGCAATTCAGTAATTTTTTTAAATTAGTATTTGGAAGCTGAAGTTTTAATGGATGTTCCCAAAGCTTAATTTTGATTACTGGTTAATATTTTAGAGGAAAATGACAATTTTTCCGAAATGATTTTATTTATTTGTAAAAATTTAGATTTTTTTCTTTCGATATTTCAGTGCCCTAAGTGCCATGTTTGTATTGAGAAAAATGGCGGCTGCAACCACATGGTAGGTCAATTTTATTTTATCAAAAATAATTTGTTATTTTTTTGGACAATATCTAATTTTTCACAGCTTAATCCATGCTAAAATATACGGATTGAAACAGAAAACAAGAGACTCGTCATTTCCGGACTAACATATGGTTCAATTTTGTTTCTTTAATTCGCTTGCACATAGGGGTCTTTAGCAGTGGGAGGAAACTGGAGGACTTACGAGGTTGGACAGGCGACCCTACTCCTTGTCATGTACAAGCAGGGAATCGAAACCACGCCGCTTGACACAATGACAGACCTTACGATACAACGCGCACATGTTAACCATTCGGCCACCATGGTCAGCATCTGAAGTCAGGTGATGCTGACTTCAGAAGATGCAAAATGGTACAGATTTGATAAGATAGGATTTAATGATAATGTTTCGGTCTTTAGTCGACCATCATCAGATATAAAAACTGAAACGTTATCATTAATACCTATCTTATCAACACAGCCTGTGTTTTTCGTAGGTTAGGAGATCCATTATTTATTAGATCAAGATTACTCACTGATCTGCCAAGCTTGTTTAGCAGCTCCTCAAGAAGGTGGTAGTTGCTACACAGATTACTTCCACCTACCTCACTGTTTACTTTTTAACAGTTTGTTCTCCCGTCAACGGCTTCATTATGTTTTAGATTTTTTAATCCACAATAACTTTGTGTATACCGTACAGATTTGAAGCATCTTGGAACTGATCTTCCTTTTAGAAATCGAGCTTTGACAATCTTGTAGTTAGTAAGGGATTTGTCTATCACTCAAATGATGTTTAGAGGTTGTCAATAAAATGAGGGTTGAACTAATGGTTTAAAGCGCGCATGTGAAATGACATGGACTGTCATTGAATCAACTAGTGTGGTTTGGAATCCCCACTTGAATCAGACAAGAAGTAGGGTTGCCTGTCCAACCTTTTGGATTTTCTCCGGGTCCTCCGATTTTCTCACACTGCTAAAGACACCCATGCGCATGTGAATTTTTGAAATAAAATTAAACCATATGTTAGTCCCGAAATGACCTAATTTGTGTCGAGTGGACATTAAACCTATTTCTCTGTGTAAATAATATGTGAACAATACAGTTGATTTTCTTTATTTTCAGCAATGTTCCAAGTGTAAATCAGATTTTTGTTGGATGTGTTTAGGAGGTAAGTCTATGTGAATATTAACTACCACAGTTCCTTGAAGAAAAGTAATATATTGATAAATACAATCTGGTTAAAACACAGATCCTATTTCGTTTCATTTTTATAGTTTAAAATTTCGTTTTACTTGTCTTTACTACGTTAGAATCTGGAAGAGTTGTTATCATTGACGTGTTCTGGATGATGTAAAGGATTAGCCAATGAAACGATCTGTTACGACGAGTTCTTGACCTTCTGATGCACAGAACTGTGGGTAACCCACTAGAAACATCAACGCTGATTGGTTAATCAAATGCCTGACGTCACTGAGTCAAAAGCCGCTTGTTTGACCCCTGACATGAACTCCCACTATAACTTGTCAGATCTTCATGTAGTGTAGGCCAACCAAATTTATAAAAAAACAAATTGAAATATAGATCTGTATTTTAATCAGAATGTGATAAATACCTCCCTGGACACAGAGAAACAGTCTGAAAATGCTGTTTCTTAGACCGCCTCAAACTGCCGGAGATACGTGAATAGTTTTGCGTATGACAGGACCATACAATGTAATTCGGGTATTATTTAATCTTGTGTATTTAGCACCGATTTCTTTCACATTCATACAATATCAAATCCTTGTTTCAAAATTTGCAAAGATCTTTTAAAATCACCCAAAATCATCTAATTTGTACTTGTGTCCAACTTAAAGCTAACCATTCAATTTTGATAATGAGTGTCCAATTTACAAGCGTTTTGGGTGATTTTTACGAATTTTTAAACGAAGATTTGGTGTTAAACGATTGTGAAAGAAATTAATGCTAGATACGTAAAATTGAATGATACCTGGTTTACAGTGTACCTATGTGGGCGTGGCAACTGTGAACATAAAGAGCCCTAGTTAGGGTGGTTTGGGGCAAATGGGTTAAACGCTTTTGTAAAATGACATCACTGACATGGTTTTATTGATTGTCCCCTGTTAACTTGTGTAAACTCGTTTATCTTTAAATTTATCTATTGTATGACCAAAAAGGGAATGTCTGATATGCATTCCTTAATTTCCAGAAATCATTTAGTCATTAAAATGTTGCTCCTTCGAGAGGGGTTCACTAGTCCACGGGTGCACTAGTCCGCCGCTATAAGAAATGCTATAAATATGGGTATCAATAAACCTAACCCTAACCCTAATAGTAATAATAGATATCGGTGGACTAATAAACCCTAACCCTAACCCAACCCTAACCCTAATAATAGATATCGGTGGACTAATGAACTCGCGGACAAGTGAACCCCCGGACTAAAGAGCATTCCCCGCTGCTTCAGTTTCTGCTTGAACATGTCCTTCCAGAAAATTGCTTTAATATTGTTCATGGAAACAGTCCGTCTTTGTTAATATTGAACGGAATTGAACCATTTTTTGGACTGATATTCTTATTAGAGATTCAGATTTCACATTATTGTAGTTTGCAAGGGATTCTATAGCGCTAAAGTAATGTTGTTTATTACAAATTTAACTTCCAATACATAATACATGATATTATGGACAGGTTGATTAAAGGTTATTTATATATGAGGGAGTAATTAAAATAAAAGAAGGTAAATTAATGAAAAAGTTAGTACATAAAGATATCACAGTGTTCAAAATCGCTGTCATGAGAAGAGAGGGTGGGTCATGTTAAAGGCTCAATACCACTCTTGTTGTAACTGAATAATATGTCCCAATCTTTATTCTGGTCAACAAATTGTACTATTTTACAATATTCCAATTAATTGATGATACAAATTTCATCTTAACACACCTAATTTAAAAAATTGGAAAAATTAAACTAAATGATTTGAAAAGCCTAACGTAAACCTTTTCAAATGTGACTTGGATTTAAAAATATTTTCGAACCCTCTGGAAAAGTAAAATAGGATGTAATGGATAATTTACACAACAGGTAGGATACTTAAACATCTAATACTTAAAATAAGGCTATTATTTATTTTCTGGAGCTGTCAAGCCAGCAAGAGTGTTATTGTCCCTTTAAAACAGGAAGTTGAGTTTATTTTTGGTATTGTCAATATCGAGTATTTTACGTGATTAATGGTTGTGATGTTTGTATATATTATAGAATGGAAGACACATGGTAGTGAATACTATGAATGTAGTAGATTTAAAGAAAATCCTAACATAGCCAATGAATCAGTACATGTACAAGCAAGAGAAGCACTCAAAAAATATTTATTTTATTATGAAAGGGTAAGTTATTTAATATAATACTACATGTACAACACTTGAAATGGAAAAAATTAGTCTGTTTATTACACAGCAAGGGATGTTGGATGGCCGAATGGTTAGCACGTGACGCGCTGTATATAAGGTCTGCCTTTGAGTCAACTGGCGCGGTCTCCAGTTGAACATGGCAAGGAGTAGGGTCACCTGTACAACTTCATGGATTTTCTCCGGGTCCTCTGGCTTCCTCCCACTGCTAAAGACCCCTACGCGCAAGCAAATTGTTGAAATAAAATTGAACAATGTGTTAGTCCTGAAATGACATAGTTTGTGTCGAGTGGACGTTAAACCCCATCTTTCTTTCAGGGTGTCCCTTATTTGATCCCTGCGTTGGCAGAGAAAGATCTTTCTCTCTCTCTTTTGACTTTTAACAATTTTTTCTGTATTTTATTTATTTTGAGCTTTCTAATAACTTTCCGTTTAGATCATAAGAAATATCGTAAGTTAACTTCAATAGAAAATATCTTAACATTATTTGTAATCCATTTCAAATCTGTTGAAAGTTTTCAGACCTGAAGTCAACTGAAAGTTTTGGGAGCTAAAGACAATTGAAAGTTTTCACTAATTACAAACCTGAAGTCCATTGAAAGTTTTCAGACCTGAAGTCAATTGAAAGTTTTCACTAATTTCAGACCTAAAGTCAGTTGAAAATTTTCAGATCTAAAGAAATTCTATGTTTTAGGATCTAAAGTCAATTGAAAGTGTTGAGTATTTGTTCTCATGTAATAATACATGTTTTTTTGTGTTCTACAGTGGGAAAATCATGCCAAAAGTTTAACATTAGAAGAGCAGACATTAAAAAATATCAGTACAAGAATACAGGAGAAAGTGATGAATAATGAAGGAACGTGGATAGCATGGCAGTATCTTCTTAAAGCAGCTGATCTTCTTAAAAAGGTATAGCATATTGACTTGTTGTGTTGGGGTGTTTAGGATTGTCCTGGATTGTTTTTTTTTTATAAGAGTCCATCAAAACAAACCTCCATCTTGAAGTTCACCCAATCCCATAATGCTCTAGGACTAACGCCTTTTATTAACAAGGGGAACAACTCTATATACCATAGTGGTTTTAAGAAGGCTTCAGAGCACATTTAACTAATTAGTATTAATCGATTTTGTTAAAGTAGAATAGTGAGGAAGTAATAGGGCATATATATGACGGACCACTCGGAAAATCTGAGCAGATTCCAGTACCCTTCATCTAGCCTCGGCTGTATGACGAAGTCCGCCATTGGAACTACTTTCAAGTTACCAGATTACCAACAGCGTTTCCCATGACGATGCCTTTGAAGAATGTTTTATCATACAAATATTTCAAAGTCTGAAGCTGTTCTTCTTTCAAATTTACTTGATTTTCTTCAAACAAGGACAGCTTTGCACTCAAAATTCTACACACGCTTCGAATGACGCAATTTTGATAACCTCTTTTTAAAAGCGGCAAGTTTTCCTAATAAGTAAACCGGTGCCGCATCGCAATTGTATAGGCGTAGGTACATATCACTTGCCGTCATACAGCCGAGGCTAGATGTAGAGTAACGGACTCTGCCATGGTTTGCCGAGTGATGAACGACAAGCCTGGGCATAGAGCACCTGCCACAGATTTTCTCCAGCACAAATTATCACATATTTTTATTATAATATATATGTTATGTGATAATTTGTGTTGGAGAATATTTGTTGCCAGATGCCGTATGTCCTGGATCGTATGATACGGGGGTTGGATGGCTGAATGGTTAGTGTGCGCGCTGTATCATAAGGTCTGTCATTGAGTTAACTGGCATGGTTTCGATTCCCCAGTTGTACGTGACAAGGAGTAGGGTCGCCTGTCCAACCTCATTGGTTTTCTCTGTGACCTCTGGTTTCCTCCCACTGCTAAAGACCCCTACGTGCAAGCGAATTATTGAAAATTTCAAAAAGATCTCAACCGCTGGCCAAGTAATCATGGTCATTTTTATGTCATTGTTTGGAGTGGTTCCCCCTTGTCAGTGATGCTGGGCGGAGGGCCCGGCAAGGACAGTGGTCTAGTCATTCGGATGGGAGGAAAAACCACTGGCCTTGCCGGGCCCTCCGTCCTGCATCACTGACAAGGGGGAACCACTCCGAATAATGACATATGACCATGTGTTATATAATAATGGCAACACTAGCAAGATGATTACTTTGATTACTTTGCCAGCAGTTAAGATCTTTTTGAAATTCAGCTTGAGTAATTTTTGGACATATAAGTTGAACTGTATATGTCGTTCATTTTGTTTTTGGGCTACAATCTCCGACTTGTGTTCATACACCTCGCAGTGTTTCGTTTAATTAGACCTAATCCCACTGAAACACTGCTGTAATGAAAGCAAATTTCTGTTCCAAATTATGATTGGTCAAGAGTCCGACTAACAACCAATACTGAACTGCGTAACAATCTCATTCGGCTTTAAACAGAGCTCCAAATATGTTTACGCCATGACGCACGAAATTTACTTCTCCCAATTAACCAGTGCATAGTAGAATATTACAGAAAAACTAATTGCGTGACAAACGAGGCTATCAAAACGACAAACCATGTAAACAATACCGCTTGGAGATGAACAATACTTTAACCATTTTTAATACCTTAAATCACTGTCCAAAGTAGGGAAGACCCCAGATTAAACGAAGGGCTGTCATGTTGCTGTACTTAGAAGTGATTTGATTGAACGGGAAGAATAGACAAACTCCCTCAAAAGCTCAAGAAGTATCAGAAGTCAATCCAGCGATGGTCAGAGAGGGATTTCTCGGGGCATTGCTTCAGGAATATGACTTGTGGTTGAAGTTGAACTGTATCTGTAATAAAGTTTTGTATTTTTCAGTGTCGTTACTCTTTACAGTACACGTATCCTTACGCCTATTACCTTGATAGAGGGGGTAGAAAAGAATTGGTGAGTACTTTTTTTTTTAAAATTATAGTGCTTTGTTACCAAATGTGTTTTTTGGGGGTTGGGGGGGGGGGGGCCACGGTGGCTAAGTAAGTAAGAAGATGGATCGCTAGCCTGGAGGTCGCGGGTTCGATCCCGGTGTTGGTAGAGAGCGGTCATCAGTACTTGGTGATATTGCCTACTGAAGACACACGATGTTCACATGATAGTCAGAATCAGAATGCCACAACCCATGTTTCAGATGACTTATAAACTAGTTGCTATTGACTAGCTCAGCCTATGCTCATGTCACCGTAGACTGGTGAAAACTGTCTGCAGCTGGTTGCAAAAGTAGATCATGTACAACTCACTAAAAACTCACTCGGCAAACCTCGGCAGATTCCGGTATCCTACATCTAGCCTTGGCTGTATGACAGTAAGTGATATGTACCTACGCCTATACATTTGCGATGCGGCACCGGTTTACTTATGAGGGAAACTTGCACGCGTTTAGAAAGAAGTTCTCAAAATTGCGGCGTTCGAAGAGTGTGTAGAATTTTCAGTGCAAATTTGTCCTTGTCTAAAGAAAATTGTATAAACTTGAAAGAAAAACAACTTTAAACGTTGAAAATTTTGTAAGAAAAAACATTCTTCAAATACGTCGTCATCAATCACGTCATTGGTCATCATGGACAACGCCATTGTAATCCGGGAACTTGAAAGTAGTTCTAATGGCGGACTTTGTCATACAGCCGAGATTAGATGTAGGGTACTGGAATCTGTTGAGGTTTGCCGAGTGACTAAAAACTGTCAGAGACCATGGTTCTGGACGGTCAAAAATAGTTTTAAATGCTAAATTGTTTCGACTGATCAGGTTCTCACAAGTCACGGACAACCCATTAGTTATTTAGTCTTTTATTTTACACAGGAATAAATATATTTTGAAAATATTTTATAGTTTGAGTATCAACAAGCTCAGTTGGAAGCTGAAGTAGAAAATTTATCATGGAAGGTAGAGAGAGCAGAAATATCGGACACAGGGGTAAGTTTTTATCATATAGAAATCAGGTGTGTTGATGGCAGAATGGTTAGCACGTGCGCGCTTTATCATAAGGTCTGTCCTTGAATCAACTGGCGTGGTTTCGATTCCCCGGTTGTACGTGACAAGGAGTAGGGTCACCTGTCCAACCTCGTGGGTTTTCTCCGGTTTCCTCCCACTGTTAAAGACCCCTGCGCGCAATCGAAGTATTGAAATAAAATTGAACCATATGTTTGTCCCGAAATGACCTAGTTTGTGTCGAGTGGATGTTAAACCCCCTCTCTCTCTCTCTCTCTCTCTCTCTCTCTCTTTCTTATTTAGAAATAAGCACACAGATATGTAAATAACAGCCTGTTTTTGTTAAGGTACGAAAAGAGCATGTAAGAGAGAACCTTTCCCATGATAGTTGAAATTCAATTGCTGTCCTGGCAAAATGTCCCTCGAGGACATTTGTCTAGTTGTTCGGATGGGACAAAAAAAACCAGGACCTGTGTATACATTGGCATGCACGTTAAAGATCCCTTGGCAAGAGTAGTGCCGCTGCCTGGGTAAAATTTCCCTAATAGCACACTGTCTGACATAAACCCCTAGAGTAGGTGCTGAAAAGTTAGATGTTAAACCCAATTTCATCCATTCATTCAAATGTGAGAAATGTATTGAACCATTCTTTCATTCTTGCAATGCCTGTGTAGTTTGTTGTGTGCATGGGTTTGTCTTGTTGGGGGGGGTTGGATGGCCGAATGGTTAGCACGTGCGTACGGTTTCGAATCCCCGGTTTTACGTGACAAGGAGTAGGGTCGCCTGTCCAACCTCGTGGGTTTTCTCCGGGTCCTCCGGTTTCCTCCCACTGCTAAAGACCCCTATGCGCAAGCGAATTATTGAAATAAAATTAAACCATACGTTAGTCCCGAAATGACCTAGTTTGTGTCGAGTGAACGTTAAACCCCATTTCTCTCTCCCTGTGTAGTTTGTTGTGTCCATGGGTTTGTCTTGTTGGTTTTGTTTGTGTGTAGTGTAGTCCTCCTGCAAGTATTATTACAGTTTGATGTTTTGATTTCAGGAATTAGAGAATTTAATGGACATAGCTGAGAAGAGAAGACTGACACTATTAAAAGATTTCTTAGAAGTTTGATTTTAATATATATCTGTACAGTAAAAATTTCATTAAATATGTTGGTTATTCCATGACAAACCTCAGATCTCAAAATAACCCAAAACAGTTGGTTGTTAGTCCCCATACTCCACAAGCAACAGCCAGATTTGGCTAGAAGGTTGGATGGCCGAATGGTTAGCACTCGCGTGCTGTATTGGTCCCTATAGTCCACAAACAACAGCTATATTTGGCTATATTGACAGATTCTTTGGGGATGCTCGATTCACAGTCCAGAACGTCCCGAATTGACAGAATTACAATCGAGTAACGCGGAGTTCAGTTCTGTCACAGTTCTGTCAGTCCCGACAACGGAGGTGGTGTGAGTAGAATCGTGACGTAATTAAAAGGTTTCAGCTGCGTGGTTGGTTGAGATATTAACTTATTCAGTCGACGCATGGGATGTAGCCCGAAATCCGCCTTTTCACTCGATTGTCACTATTTTTGGGATTGAAGGAATTCAATTCCAGAACGTTCAATCGAGTACCCCCTAAGTGGAATTAACAAGTTGGAGGTTTTACCTGACGACAAAAAGAAACTCAAGTTTATATTGAAATCAGTTAATTCTCTGTTATATATTATTGCAAGTAAGAGGGGTTGGATGGCCGAATGGGTAGCACGTGCGTGCTGTATTATACGATCTGTCATTGAGTCATCTGGCGTGGTTTCGAATCCCCAGTTGTACGTGACAAGGAGTAGGGTCGTCTGTCCAACCTCGTGGGTTTTCTCTGTGTCCTCTAGTTTCCTCCCACTGCTAAAGACCCCTACATGCTAGTGAGGGGGCACAGTGGCTAAGTGGGTAAGACGCTGGCTCGATAGCCTGGAGGTCGGGTGTTCGATCCCTGCATTGGCCGAGAAAGTTCATCCAGATTTTCCGGCGTGATTCCCCCCTTGTCAGTGATGCAGGACGGAGGGCCTGACAAGGACAGTTGTCTGGTCGTTCAGAGGGGACAATAAACCAAGGTCCTGTGTACACATCGGCATGCACGTAAAAGATCCCTTGACAGTTGGAATTCGATATAAGAGTAGGCTGTAGTGCCACAGTCCAGGCAAAATTTCCCTCATAACATTCTGTATGGTGTATGCTCGTTTTCATTAGCCCAGTTCGGAGCAGAACAGTAAGACGTTAAACCACATTTCATTTCATTTCAACATATAGTGGACTTCAATTATGAGTCTGAATTTGTGTGAATTGATAATCATAACAGACACTAAATAGAGTTGTGTTAGTCCCAGTAGCAGAAAGGGTGTGGTGATAACAATCAAACACAATCAATGTGAGTACACGTCAACTGCAATTAACGTTATCTTCTTGATTGTCACTGTGAGTTGGATCCAGAGAATACTGTTCCGAAACATTCAGTAGTTTATAATACTGCCTAGGATGATCAAAGTCATCAAGAGAATACTGTTTCACAGTACTGTATACTGCTTAGGATGATCAAAGTCATCAAGAGAATACTGTTCCGTAGTACTGTATATATACTGCCTAGGATGATCAAAGTCATCGTGAGAATACTGTTCTGCAGTACTGTAGTATACTGACTGCTTAGGATGATCAAAGTCATCAAGAGAATACTGTTCTGCAGTACTGTAGTATACTGACTGCTTAGGATGATCAAAGTCATCAAGAGAATACTGTTCTGCAGTACTGTAGTATACTGACTGCTTAGGATGATCAAAGTCATCAAGAGAATACTGTTCTGCAGTACTGTAGTATACTGACTGCTTAGGATGATCAAAGTCATCGTGAGAATACTGTTCCACAGTATTGTATATACTGCCTAGGATGATCAATTTGTCATGGAATATCAAACATTTCACAAGTCTGTGTACAAAGAGATTTCATATCACTGACCGTCTTCAAAGCTTCTCAATTCTTGATTACCAAAATTTTAGGTGCTCTTTATACCTATAAATATTAAATTGTTAAGAAATCCAAGACTTCAGATTGTGCTTTAACGGCTGTTTTTGGTTAGAAATTGTTCGTTATTTGTACATAATTTTTAACCTGATGTATAAAATACTGGTTGTATGTGTAAGTGACTTTTAAAAAAAAAATATTAAAATAATAGATGTACAGTGAAATCTCTCTATTAGGACCGGTTGCGGTTTATACTGGAGTGGTCTTTATATTAGATGTATGAGTATTTTAAAGAAAAATATTGATTTAATAGTACAGTTGAATCCCTCTATTAAAGACTGGTTACAGTTCATACTGGAGAGGTCTTTATACTTGGTGTATGTGGAACTAGCTTTTGAAGATAAATATAAAATAATGTACAGTGAAATCTCTCTAAAAGGGCCGGTTGCAGTTTATACTGGAGAGGTCTTTATATTAGATGTATGAGTATTTTAAAGAAAAATATTGAAATAATAGTACAGTTGAATCCCTCTATTAAAGACTGGTTACAGTTTATACTGGAGCGGTCTTTGTATTTGGTGTATGTGTAACTGGCTTTTAAAGAAAAATATAAAATAATAGATGTACTGTTAAGTCTTTCTGTGAAGACCATTTGTGAGATGGGTAGGAATTGGTCTTTACACTTGAGTGGTCATTATAATGACTCATAATTCGCAGGATACAGTTTGGTTATCTTTAATTATTTGAGGTCATTACAGGACTGACAAAAATTGATCTTACTACATTCTTTTAAAATATGGTCATATACATGAGGTGGTCTTTCAGCAGGATTTCATGGTATTATTAAATGCCCTCTTACTATAACACTGAGGAAATCAGGCGTCCGAATAAAACTTCAAACCGCTATTGATAGATATGATTTGAAAAAGATTCTGATTGCTGATATGATCAATGTTCTGTCGTCTGAAACATAATAAAAAATAAAATTAGAGAAATAATCTCCTTTATTAATACATTTCTAAAATCGTAAAAATCATGACATCTGTGTAAATTCATGAAATTGTTTTTTTTTTGTTTTTATATATTTATTCGAATTAGGACCTTATTACAGGTTTCATTGCCTGGCAACCTATCTTTACATATATTAATTTTGATTAGGACTTTGGGGGCGACACTAATCGGAAAAAGCCTAATGGACCCGCCAATATTGATGTACTATCGACGTGAAACTTTGCATGCTTGTTCCTTAGACAATTGCGCATCAATTGACAGACTTTGATTTTGGATATGACGTCACAATAAACAAGATGGCTGGGATGACCTCATAGTCAGTTTCTAGTCATAGTATGGCAGTACTTGTTTACCCTCTTTTTTTCAAAAAATAAAGTCTGTAGGCAGTTGCTCTTTTCAAAAGCTTTTAATTCCAATTTTTATCAGTTTTGAAATATTAACGTCATATGTTAATGGCTATGTTATATATTCGTAAATATCTACCTCTAGTAATCTAGAAAAGTTTATAATATATAGAGTTACCCATTAATCTGTCTATATTAATTAATAGAAAAAAACAGAAGTATAGAAATGTTTGAATATATGACATTTTCATTTTAAAATTAGGAACAGATGCTGTCTCCTTTGCTATAGTAACTTATTAATTATTTTTTTTAAATAAAAAACTCAACTTTATGGATTTACGATTTCTTAGTTTTATTTCATGCCTGACTCCCATGAAGTTTTGTTTCTTATTGATGTTATACCCATACATTAAAAGGAGAATATTTTTTCATTTTTGTGAAAAATTCTTCTTGAAAACATAGTTTCAATTTTCCTTTAGATTACGGTATTTGTGGTTCATTAGTTTTTTTCATATAAACATGTTAGGGGGGTTGGATGGCCGAATGGTTAGCATGTGCGCGCTGTATCATAAGGTCTTTCATCGAGTCAACTGGCTTGGTTTCGATTCACTGGTTGTACGTGTCCAACCTCATGGGTTTTCTCCGGGTCCTCCGATTTCCTCCCACTGCTAAAGACCCCTACGCACAAGTGAATTATTGAAATAAAATTAAACCATATTTTTGTCCCGAAATGACCTAGTTTGTGTCGAATGGATGTTAAACCCCATTTCTCTCTTTCTCTCCCTTTAAATTACGGTATGTATAGTTTATTAGTTTTTTTCATATAAACATATTAACGTAGATACTGTAAAAATCTTTTGACAATAATGACATATGTAATTTATGTTTTTATTAAAATCAGGAATTGAAGTTATTTTATTTAAATCCATAGTGTAAATATATGTATAAATTTTGAAAAACATACTTTGTACTATGTAGTTATTTTGAACATCTCTCTGGAAGAGTTTTGTTGTATGACCTCTGATGCGACCTCCCACTACAACTGATCAGATCTTCATGTAGTAGAAGCCATCGTAAGTACAAAAAAAAACTGAAATGAAATAAAAGCTGTATTTTAATCAGATTGTTTATGATGTAAATATAAAATGTAATATTTCTACATCATTTACAATTACATTAATAACAGGATTATTTAATATGTACAGTTTATATAGAAAACAAATAAGAATTCCAGTTCTTTAGCTAGTGTGTGGAGGGGGGGGGGCAAGAGGGACGGCTGCTTCCCCTAGAAAAAATCAGCACACCCAATGGTGCCTTTGCCCATTGGGGAAAGATTTGGGGTTCCCCCAATGGGCACCCTTTCCATTGGACGCAATACGACCAATGTGCCCCTCTCCCCCCCCCCCCCCTTAGCTTTGGGCCGGATTTCATAAATATGGATTATGCATGCCGTTGTTGAAACTTTGCTATGAAATGTACATTTAAAAGACCCTTTCACTGTAGTCAGTCTGATAGTGATAACATAAGTATCCGTAACAATGTCTATTAAACTAAAATACAAATAAAAATTCGTAAATTTGGATTTTACATGTACATGTAGTTGTTGAAACTTGTCTAAAAATATACAAAAAAAAGACCCTCTTGCTGCAGTCAGTCTGGTAATATTACAAGTATCAGTAACAATATTTATTAAATTATTATTGTCGGATTAGCTGGATGGATTAATACTAGAAACTCATCTGTATTAGATTTTGTTTTATTTAATTATTTGTTTTTACTTGAACAAAAATATGTCCGACTGTAATAAATTTCCAATGAATATATTTGGAGTTATTAATAATTGAAGAAACGCTTGTGGTGTTTTTAAACAACAAAATAGATTTGCAACAGGAAAAAAAACAAGGTATATATGGGTATAACCGAAGTCTGTTATTTTAATAACAGGGTTAGCAGACAGGGTGACGCCTCCGGAGAATCTATTTCAGATCTGTACATCGAATCAAAGAGTGAAATTAAAATGAAGGGGTTTTCAAATTTGAAATTATCGATGTTAACTTTGTTGTACAAGCTGTCCTAAAATGGCCGAATGGTTAGCATGTGCGCACTGTATCATAAGGTCTGTCACTGAGTCAGCTGGCGTGGTTTTGATTCTCCGGGTGTGTCCATCCTCTGTATAAAACATTATTAAAGCTGCAATTTCATATTTTTAGTTATATTTTTAAAATTTATTAAAATAAAGCCTTAAAATAGATGGTATCCATAAACCGTCCTACCTTGTTAAAGAATAATCCTATTAATCCTATAAGTCACTATTGCCGGCTGAGAAATTGGCAAAAATATCATTTTCAACTTCAAATTCCAATGTTTGAAGTTAGCTAATGCATGGAGGCAATAGGAAAACAAGGGAGGTAATTGTGTTATTATTTCCTGTGTCAATGATTTTTAAGGGTGGGAAATAATGCCCATGGTCGTATAATAGTGAGTTGATAACCTATTGAGCAAAAGACATAGAAATAATTATGTTTTGACTTTCTTAGAAAATATGAAATTATCGCTTTAAATAACCAAGAATTAATTATATCCATACATAGGCCTTTCTTATACAGGTTTTTTTATTTGTTGTGAATGTTTGAACTTACTTCTAAATGTCATTTAAAGATGGTCAAATTATGATTGATTGATTTTTTTTGATTTTTTTTTCGGATATGTAGTCAAATGGTAAAATTCTACATGTAATATTGTTTTGTATATGTTATATTTATTTGAAATTAAAACAAAATGCTGTTTATACAAATTTTTATGGTTATTGTTTAGGCTACCATTTACCCGTGATGCTAGTCTTTGTCTTGGAACATAACGAGAGCCACTGTGGCTCAGTGAGTAAGATGCTCGCTCACTAACCAAGATGTCCCGGGTTTAATCCTGGTGTGGTTCGAGAAAGCTCCCAGGGATTTTCCAGCATTGTTTTCCATTTTCAGTGGTGCAAAACAGAGGGACTGGCTGGACAGTGTCTAGTCTTTCGTAAGGGGTAAAAAAAACCTACATCCCATATAGGCCTAGGCTATCGGTACATATTGGCATGCACGAAGTAAAACCCTTGACAGTTGGAAATTGAAATGAAATGAAATGGGGTTTAACCTCCTACTGTTCTGCTCCTAACCTGGGCTAATGAAGACGGGCATACGGCATACAGTGTGCTATGAGGGAAATTTTACCCAGGCAGCAGCACTATCACCTACTCTTATATCGAATTCCAACTGCCAAGGGATCTTTAACGTGCATTCCAATGTATACACGGGACCTCGGTTTTTCGTTTCATCCGAAGGACTAGACAGCTGTCCTTGTCAGGCCCTCCGTCCTGCATCACTGACAAGGGGGAACCACGCCGGAAAATCTGGATGAACTTTTTCGGCCAATGCAAGGATCGAGCACCCGACCTCCAGGCTAGCGAGCCAG